CTTTTCGTAATGAATAATTCCTCTGGTAACTTTCTAGCCGGCTCGGGGTGTCAAAGGCGAGCACAAAGGACCCGTCGCAGGCGATTCGCGTGTGACAATGTCACGGCGGGCACTTGTATCAACATCTTGTTTTTGAAACGGAACCATTCGACACACAGCGGGTGACGCAACGCACGTCTTTATATTTACGCAATACGGCCATTGTTTCGGCTTCACAAACAAGCTCCTGTTCGCTACGGACTTATATCTGTTAATGGATCGTGATCGTTGAGCTGAAATTAGCGAATCAGGACTTTACGCGATGTGTGTAAAAATATACAATAAAATACCAAGTAAAATTAAGGCAATAAGAAATTACAATCAGTTTAATAACGAAATGAAAAAACTCTTATTAAACAAGAGTTATTATAGCATACACGAATATTTAAGCGACTAACAAACACTACAATACTTTAATAATCTATATTTATAAAATGTTATGATTATGAAATTATGTTATATTAATTTATTATACATTGCTAATGTTTATAAATGTAATTAAATTAATATTAAGTTTTATGGACATTGCACGTCTAATTGTAAAAAAAATGTCTTTGTATTTTAATTGTATTAATTTAATTGCCAATTGTATTTAAGTCTTAACAATTTTTACTATTGCTATGCTCTAGCAGGGTCCATGACGATTCGTAATTTTAAGTTGTTACCACCCAAGTTACATTGTGGAATGCAAATAAATAATGAAGAACAAGTAATACTTGTGCGTTTCGTCTGGTACGTGAGGTAACCGGAGTCCACTATTTGTAATGGTAAGCAACGAATGTACCCGTTTTTTGTTTTGGATAACCATGGGCGGCGGTAATCACTTTGCATCAGCGGAAACCGCCTGCTCGCTTGCTAAACCACTACATAGTTTAAAACAAAGTCATCCTGCTGTCTCTTTGTCCCTATGTATGCTTAGATCTTTAAAACTACGCAACGGATCTTGATGCGGTTTTGACTAGATAGAGTGGTTCAAAGGAAGGTTTATATGTATAATACATTGCACCGGTGCGAAGCCGGGGTGGGGAAGCTAGTTTATACATAAAAAAGCCATAACCCTTTTATCAGACTTGGCTTACGGCCGGTTTCTATATTCAAACCGCAGAGAGATTTGGTTACTGAAAATAGAATTTTGACGTAATTATTATCGAACTAATGTCAAACACCTATCGCAAGTAACCAAATCTACTTTTAGATAGAATGTTGATACCGGAACTTGATTATTTAGGTATTACAGACCACTCGTCGCTATTAGCTGTAATGTAGCGGCAAAAAAGCCGTCACCCTAACAGAGGTATCAAGTATTTGACAACCGAGTAGCTTCTAATCGTATACCACGAGTAGAAGAGAATAAAAACTTACCTCATACTATACTGAATATTGACAAACGTGACAGGCGACAAGCCCATCGTTGCTTAAACGATAAGACTATCCGAAACATTACAGTAAAATCGACAAGCGATACAGATTAAAAATAACTTGTATATTTCAGCGACACAGTTTGAATAAAGATTTACAAAGACATAAAAGGCGCACGTAAACGCCAGTTTCTTCTTTTTTTTAATCAGAATTTGTTTTGGAGTTTTTAAAATGCCAAAGTTCTACGGAAAGAACAGAGAACAATACACAATGTTCCGGAAAAAGCGTTGAAAGTTAACTTCACTGCTGCCTTCCAATGTTTCCCTTTGGATATATTTGAAATGAAATAAAAATAAGACCTAATTATTTGCCACAACGGGATTGAAAGGTTAATTGCGAGGATAATAGTATATATTTGTCGACTCAATTGGCGTAGTGGATAGTGAGCTCGTATGAGCGCAGAAGATGTGGGTTCGATTCCGAATAGAAGAAAAATCTTGTGTGATGAATATAGTGTTGTTCTAGTATCGTTAGTTCATATATCTACAATATTTATTTATTGGCAAAAGAAAAAGTACAAGCTTTGCTTAGTTTGAAACTAGATAACGTTGTGTAAAAAATTGTATTTAAATATTTTTTATTATCATTTACAAATGACTAAACACACTCTGACTCTTAACCGGAACACTACAAAAACTATTGCGTAAACATTTAATATTAAAAAAAATCAAACAAGAGATATAAATAGAAATCATCGGCAAACATAGTGGTCAGCAAACTAAAAAATGAGGTCTACAGCGTCGATGGGACGCAGTCCAAACGGCAATGCACCCGGAAAGGAAAACCAATTATCATAACGTCGTCAGCATCGATAGACCTGTTACTCGGCGCAGTTAACGCCGTCTGTACAGCGGTACTCTCACTAAGTGACCTTTAGGACGCGTAAAACCTCTCGGGAAGTCGCGCATCGCCTCTAGTCGATATAATTACGCACGAGGAGGGAATAACCCATTTGCTTTTACAGTCTCTGTTGAATACCGCCATTATCATTACACGCGTGCGAAGTTGAGATGGCCGATTTGAACTCTAACCTTATTAACTTTTGCTGTGTATGTTAAACGATGACGCAGGAAAAGGGAAACTCCACGAACTACTAATAGTAATTGCAATCATTAATAAAATAAAAATAAGCTCACTAATCACTTATAATAAACTAATAACGAGTTCACGCGATCGAAGGTCTAAAAGCCTGTTAGATTAAACATTAACTGCTTTAATGTTAATCATAAGGTAGTGGTAATTAGTTTATTAACAAATTAAAGTCGTTCCGATCTTATTATGAATGATTACGTTTTATGTTTACTACACTAAAGAATTTAGTTATTATTGTACTAAAAAACGCAGCGATTACTCGCCAGTCTTAGTAAACAATGAAAGTGTTTATCGTAAAAATATTTGCTTTGACATATTTTCCTTACAGCGCCAAAAAATGTATGCGTAATGACGCATCCGATGCCGGGTCCGGAACAACAATGACGATTTTGGAAACAGGAAATATTTATGTACTTATATCAAATGCGGGCATCACAATAGTAACTATGAAGCGGTGGTAAGTAAATTTACAAAAGTCGATCTCAGATAAGCGTTATCTGAGATCGACTTTTGTAAATTTATTTAGATTTAAACTCAATTCCAGTTCGTATTAATACCCGACTGGTTTGCAAGAATGGAAGCGGTTTATGATTAGAAAACCTGTCGGCTCTTGTTGCCATGTAAAAACCAAAAACAGACAGCTCTCTAGATGTTTCTCAAAAAAAAAAACATGTACGCGAGCGTCTGCCCACTTGTGTGTTTGAAACATGGTAATAAATATACTTCGTAAAAACCGCGGCCGTCTCTTAGTTCAACGCACCAGGTCGACGCACCATCGTGTACCGTACATCGCGACCATAAGAAATGTACGCTCGGGCAACCCGGCAAATGCAGAGGGCAAGCAAGCGCGACGGACCGCCTAGTGCGCGCCACCTCCCCACCTTAGCCGGTTTCGACTTCAACATTTACCGTGACGTCAGCGCATAGCAGAGAAAACAAGTTACAGGTGCCCGCCTAATAGTTAACACAGAATTCGCCCAAAAACTCCAAAATAACGAACAATCAATTATGTATCTAATTATTTATTAATGGCAATGTTTTGTTATTAAAACATTTATATGTTAAAAGAAATATAAAACTTATTTTTGGAAAATAAAATATCCACCAGTGCATAAATATTCGCTATTGGAAAACCTCACATATCTTTAGAATGTTTTTGGACCTCTACGCGTTCGAAATGCAAATTGGCGAATTAATCGAGAATGCAACTCGCGTACCTACCTACGTACTAATAGCGATATGTCGGGCGTCCGGCTACTCTGGGCAACTTTGAATATTATTTATTAGATATAGTACATTTTGGCGTCTTAACGTACCATTGGAACTAAAATCAATGATCGAATCAATTTGTTGAAAAAACCATAATATTAGGCACGCTAATATTATTGTTTGTTGATGATAACAGACCGCTTTGACACGATAGTTCAAAATCGTAAACTAACAGACATTTTTACTAAGAATTTTAACATGCAGATGTATGTTAAAATTCTTCCTTAACACGCTAAATGAAATGCAGGTTTCCTTTAGCGTGTTAAGGAATTCTTTAATGAAGTCTGTGAATTTTAATAAACACACAAATGAAGAAGTGTATATTTTATAAAAGTAAAGATATTAAAACCGGAACATATCCGTCACCTTAAATTTTGCACCAATAAATATGTAGATAACTACAATACATATTTTCCTTAAATAAAATTGTAATCTACGTACAAAGAATGTAATGTTAATGAACAATGTATAAATACTCTTTTTATCGTTAATATCGCAACTGAACAACAGATAGGTGGGGTTCTAAGGAATTCTCGATTGATCAACACCGGCTATGATAACGGTCCAATTTGGTAACTCCATTAGAGTTGATGTGTATCAATTACCGCGTTGCAATACGCGAGGCGAGTGGGGCGAGCAGTTTATTTTCTCTGCCCGCTGCAGGTAGGCAGCCGCCTTGATTACAAAACAAGGCCGGCGAGATCGGGCCGCAATTATTTGTTATCAGCGTTATCGAAGCCGAGCGTTTGATCTATGACATTGACCGGTTTCCCGCCGCCCCCGTGCTTCGTGTCGCGCTAACCTAACAGACGCAAATCCGCGGCAATAGCTTAGCTAGATAAGCGAAGAAAGTCAGACTCACCGGGTCGATGTCCGCGTCCCAGACATCCTTCAGGTCGTTGGAGATGTCGAAGTAGCTCTCCATGTCGGGGCCGGGCTAACACGACGGCCTCCGACCGGCGCGCTGGGAAACTCCCTCGCGATGAGCCCGCACAGAAACCACGGCAAACTGTCACGCTGCACCGTCCGAGCAGTGCGGAACTCCGATGGAATGCAAACTTCACAACTCAGCGTCAATTAAACTATTCTACAACGGATCACTGCGTATCACCACGGGTTGCTTAACGTTTCACTGTTGCGGCCCATTTGGTTGTGCGGCGCGTGAGTTTTGTTAGATTTCACCGCGCGCGAGGAATGCTGGTGTGGTAGACGGTTGCGACGGACATGCGTTCGCGGCGGAGTGCGGCCGGCGAATGCGGTGCGCGGTGTTTCTGTATCGTCGCCCCCTCCCCCTCCCGCGCCTCGCCCGCGTACGGCGTCCGCCTCTCATTCATAACGCCAACGTGATAGGGGGTAAAAACTAGCGAGTAGGGCCACGGGGGTTGTCTGCGGTGGCATGAGGCATCCGAACATTTCTATCGCGCCAAACGCCTCTTCTCGTCAACAAAACAAAATAAAAAAAATAGGAGTCAAAAAATAATATCGATTTATAGATAGGTACCCCCCATCTGATACAGATTATTTATCGTCAGCAATATTGTCAATGTAAATAAGCATTTCATTTGAGCACGTAATATCGTAATATTACGTACGTAAATATGATATATCTCACGTAAGATATCTTGAAATAACAATCTAGACTAACTACGACTAAATTAAACAAAAAATATTTGAACGATTACCATTAAAGTAAAACACCAAACGAAATTAAACGATTCCTGATAAGTTTATTTGAAAAGTTAATCCGCTTAAGTTTAAAAGTTAGGAGTTAGCTTACTATGTTTGTGTCTGCAAACTTAGATTTCTATACCAATTATTAAAAGATCTATTGGAATATTTTACATGCCTCTCAGAAAGTAATCTAATAAAAGAAATGTAATGTGTGCGAACTGTACCATTACAACATTCACAATAATCACCGCCGCAACTACAAAAGTTTTAAACGTTAATCATTTAAATACAAGCCATTTTAAAACAAAAAGAACATAATGAAAATGCCTAGAATATCTAAAAATAACTGTTATATATAAAAAAGTCGAAGGTGCTATCTTAATTTTCGAATGTTCAAATCATTAATAAAAGACGAGTGATAAGAAATGTATTAAACGTTTTCCAAACTTAAAACGATCGTTTGGTGGTTATAGTTTAAACAAATAGCTTTAGATAAGTAATAAATTGCTGCAGCCGAATGTTGTTTCTTAAAGTTCGTCAGCACACAGTTTTAACTGTTACAATTACACATACAATTTATTTTTTCTTCGGTTTTAACTGGCACTAAATTTGTTAAAGTATCCAATAGACATATTAATAAGTGAATTAGTTAAACGCTAATTGTAGTCACTAAATGCAATCGTTATTAACGAAAATCAATTATCTAAAATAGCTATTTCTCGGCATAAAAAGTCTTTTTAATTAGGGTGATTGTGTTAGATCAAAACAAGGAACGAAAAGAATACTTTTAAGGTTGATTCGTTCCCTCATAGCTCCTTTAAAATACTTGTAAAAAGTTTAAAAATTTCGTCCTTGGATACCACTTATCGGAAATTACTTACTCGTGCCGCACAAGGGACTTGCAACCCAATTAGTAAAATAATTAACGCAATCTCGCGATAACTTCCATGGGCACATACACATGCGAGACAAAAACGAAACGTAACAGAGAAAGAAAAAACAACAAAAATACAATAATAACAATGATTGATTTAATCCATTAGTTCCGCTTACATATTGGTCCTTCCAACAGGATACGATCTATAAAGACTTGTCGATTTAAGCGATTATAACGATATATATGCGAGTACAGTTCACTTAGATCCGACTTTCTTCATGGGCACGACGAAGAGTGAGGGAATGTGAGAACGCAGCGCCGCTATTCCCCCGTGGAGGATGCACACACGAGGCACGCTGCACTTAACGAGGTAGTCGCTGAACTGCAACAAAGTTACACCATGCATCCTCAGACTTCGACCGTACGTTTACACAACAGTGGAATCACTGAACATCATGATGACTCTGAGGCGCAGTTTCCAAGGCATTGGCGTCGGTGTCGGGGGTCGTGGGTTCGATTACCACACGGGACAACTATTTGTGTGACCCACAGACAGTTGTTTCGCGTCTGGGTGTTTCACGTGAAATTTGTGTGTAAAACGTCCCTACAACACAGGACAATGTTATCCCAAAGTTAGGTCAACGTTTTATAAAAATAAATAAAAAATACAAAATAAGAAGCTCCTTATATTTTATTTTATTCATAATTGTATTATTTATATTTAATTCATCTCACGATTGCTTTTGCAATCTTATACTGACAAATAAACCATGCCACACAATGTAATTTTTTTTAAACATTTTAAACACTGAATATATTATTGTTTTAGATAATTATTTTGAAATCTACCCAATTTTTGTCTATTGTAATAATTGAACTTAACACAATTTTTAAAACACAATTTTTCTGTTTACTTTTATTTCTTTTCACTTCTCTGCATGACGTACTTGCATACTTATTAGCTGTACATTGAGGTGTAAAATTATTTCATGTAATCCATAATATTATTATTTTGAATATATTTATAATGCATAACTACTGGCAAAGTTAATAAGTAAATATACAGAAAAATAAATTATTACCGAGAACTTTTTCCCCGACCCACCTAGATAGGGTAGGCAAAAATCAGGTTAATGGTATTTTTTATGTTTTTTTTTTACGAACGGTCGTCTGACTATTGTCAACCCTCCTTGGAAATAAACACCCAGATCCGGAAAAATTATCTGTAGGCCACGTAGATAACTGTCCCGTGTGGGATTCAAACCCACGACCCTCGGCACTGAACACCTTAACAACTGGGCCACTGAGTAATCCACCGTGAAAAATTCGAACGAAGTACACGCGATAAAACTAACTACTTTAATAGTACAACTTTGTTTTTCTATGTTGCTATCTATGCTCTAAGTTGTTTAATAAAACATTTTAGCTCATTTTATCACATCGAATTTGTTTTTTAAATTTCCCTCTTTCACAATACTTTAGGGTCTACATATTCACGTCAATATAATAAATCAATATTTTATTTATGTGGACGACCAAATAAGGTTTTGAATTTATAGTTATCGAAATTACAACTTAACTAATAATCATTACTTCTTATTAACACTGCTTACGAAAACTTAAAACCTAATTGCAATAACAATTCGATAATCCTTATGTAATTTAATGGTTATTTTTAGTGGTACGTAATAGCATAGCAGTTGTGTAAGTACGAATTAATTCAATGCTTAGTGAACGGCACCAAGCTACTTAGTTTTTGGATAGAAAAAAAATATTTATTTTGTAATATTTTTAAGTTTATTGTGTATTCAAAAAAACCTACTTCAAATATCTCGCTCTGTATTCATTAACCGACTTCAAAAAAGGAGGAGGTTCTCAATTCGACAATTTTTTTTTATGATTTTATTTCAGAACTTTCGACCGAGTGAGCCGCATTTGAATATTCTTTTTTATTTGAAAGCTGGTGCTTGGCATGCGGTCCCATATAAAATTCATTGGTGTTGGATCTTGGGCCCCGGAGATATTACAGGAACTCCTAAAAATCAATTACTACGCACTATATCCCATAGTAGTAAGTCCTCACTTTGAATTGTAAACTATTTACTATTTACAATTTCATTGGTGCCCGACTTGGATCGAACTTGAGTACTTATGTTGAAATAAAGCGAGCGCTTGGACACTGGGCTGTCAGGGCTACAAGTACAGTTGGTAAATACAGTTCAGTTCGCGCTATAAAAGTAAGGGGCGGCGTAAACAAGTGCAGTGCGAAATGCGACTTTCGGTTATTAAAATTCCAAGTACGGGCGTTCGTATAAAGGGCACTTTCACAACGCGATAGACGCGCCGATTACGAGAGCAGCCGAAACTGTTGACGAATGTGTATTACTTTTTGGGGTTCCGTACCCAAAGGGTAGAATGGGACCCTATTACTAAGACTCCGCTGTATGTCTGTCACCAGGCTGTATATCATGAACTGTGATAGTTAGACAGTTGAAATTTTCACATTTGATGTATTTCTGTTGCCGGTATAACAACAAATACTAAAAAAAAACAGAATAAAAGAATATTTAAGCGGGACTCCCATACAACAGACATGATTAATTTTATAGTATAGATGGAATGGTACGGAGTTCGTGCGCGAGTCTAACTCGCACTTGGCCTATTTTTAATTTTGTTTGTGTATGTATTTCGATCATATAACTGAAAGTTAGCGTCGTCACCGTGGTCCCTAAAAAAAATATTCGTACTTAAAATGTTTTTCACTCGTTTTGTTGATAAGCAATCAACAGCTGACAGCGTGTATAAAATTGTGAATAAGTGTTTTGAAAATATAATTTGTATTCAAAATAAGGTTAACCAATTATACTGATGTAGGTCCACGCAGCTGAATCACTGTTGCACGATTGGGCAGGTCCCTCCGGGGAAGTAACAAACCTCGTGACCTCAAGACCGGTGAGGTGGAAGTGTTACACTTCTGCGTATCGTGTGGTGAGCGAGTTAGCCGAGATCCATTTTATTAAAAAGGTGGCAAGGTGGTAAAAATTACCTACCAATAAATATATCAACGTGCAAATAGCCGCAATCCTAAATACATGCAGCATCGTTAAGAAAATTTTATTGGGAGACATCACATACCAATTATAAGTACCTGGAGGGCCTGGAGGAGGTTTTTTTTGTAAATCATGAATTTTGTAAATAAAAAAAAATAAAGAAAGCAATGCAAGCAAGATATGGTATAGAAAAAAGTAAAAAAATAAGTGTGTAAATGATCGTGATACGAACCGCGGCCGTCTGTTTTGGGGCCGCCCGATTACCGACCGGGCTATTATAACATTTTTTTTGCGGCGAAATTTACCATCATATTCGAATGATATTTTTCATTCCCTGAAAACAGGGATAACAGGACATTTTCTAAAAATGAATCCTAGCTAGATCGATTTTTTCGCCCCCGAATCCACGAACATACTAAATTTCATGAAAATCGCTGGAGCCGTTTCCGAGATTCCGATTATATATATATACAAGAATTGCTCGTTTAAAGGATAAGACTAGATGAGCCCAACTTGGTGCTGCCCGAAGTGTTCATTACTTACCGAAATAATATTTCAAGAAGTACTGGCCAAAAATAATAACATTTAAAAAAAAAAAAAAAAGACGGTGAGCGCTCTTACCAGCTGGGCGGTCTCGTCCTCAGCGGAGGCGACGACCACCGCCTTGCCCTTTTTGGTGGCGTCAGAGAGGGCGCGGTAAGCGCTCGACCCCAGCGCCCTCAGATCGCGTCGCCCCAAGTGGACCCCGCTGTATGGCACGTTCACGCTGCCGTCCACGCAGCTCTTCTCGTACCTACAACGAGTTTGCGTCAAGCTCTCCCATCTTAACAAAGGTTGCAAAGTTCAAAATAACAATTTTTTTATTAACGAAAAACAAAACCGACTTCAAACATCTCGCTCTGTGTTTAATCTTACAATTGATTTTCTCGAGTTCCGAACGAATCTCCGGTGCCCGAGATCCAATACCGATGAAATTAATATGGCCCCACATGCGAAGCAGCAGCTTTCAAATTAAAAAAAAATCATCATCATCAAAATCGATTCACTTAGTCGAAAGTTCTGAGGTAACAAACCTAAAAAAAATATAATTCGAATTGAGAACCTCCTTTTTTGAAGTCGGTAGAAAAGGAGTTTGCCACCGCGGGACTCGCGTCTCTTAACAGACGTTAACAATTGCGAGATTTAAAATAACAATTTAAAAAAAAAAAGGGAACCGCCGCTGGACGTCCCGGCTGATGTGAAACATCAAAATTATTTTGTACAGATAATCTCTATTAAAGGATGGCTTATGAGAGGAAATATGGTATAATCAAAGATAAAGATAAAATATTCAGATTTTTTAAACATGAATATTTTCAAAAATCTTTTTCTTTCTCATCGTCATTGGTCACTTGCTCACGGCGATCACCACACGGATAAGATGTTTCGGATCAAAATAATTATATCTGGACACGTTTTAGCGTAGGTACCCAACGTTATTGGCGTACGTATAGCTTGTATGCGTACTACATAACTGACAAACATGTACGTACTTTAATTTTGTAAATAAATACATATTATAATCTACGCACTAAGGAAAACATTTTTTTTTCAATATTCAGAATCGACGTCACGTTCTGGCTTAAGTGACAAGTCCACTTATCCGCTACACCTATTGGTTCGAAGAGTTAAGAGCGATGAGAGACGGTCTATGAAAATTTTTCACTAAAGTACATTACAATATACTTTATACCGTGATATGAATTACAACACATTATTGGCCTCAACTCTCCAATACATCTTTTGGATCGGTCCCATTGACACCAATCGGAAGGTTTGACATAACTCCGCTACTATGGTTGAAATGAACGTGTTATACTTCTGTGTAACACGCCTCACTAGGCAAAAGTGAGGAAACTCAATTCATTTTAAAGGTGGCAACACATCTGAAACGCTACGGGTGTAAACCGCTAATACTACATACCACCTTGTCATGTTAAAAAAAAATAATAATAATATGCTTTATTGTACACCAAAAAAGAAAAAACTCAATTCATTTTAAAGGTGGCAACACATCTGAAACGCTACGGGTGTAAACCGCTAATACTACATACCACCTTGTCATGTTAAAAAAAAAAAAAATATACAGTTTATACAGAACTAAACAAAATATTTATCAAATATTGGTCATCAAAAGGCGACCTTATTGCTACACATGCTAAAAATAACTCATATTAAGTGCGAGCTGCGACCTCGATTCACTTTTTCTTTGGCATCTACATGCCTGCGCGTGAGCAGGCCTAGGACAAGGATAGACCTTCTCCGATTCCCTCACCATCTCGCAGCAGCTCGAGATCACTTCGAGAATTAAAAAAAAAAGCGGGCATTAGTGCAACAGCAAACGCAGTTGTGTTGCCTTACCACAGCCATTATTTTTTTTTCAATACCCAAAAGAATGGGGCTGCCGCCAAACCACCAAAGTTGGCTCCTGTAACTGATTTAAGGTTTGTACTCACAGTAGATTTGAGCGGATGTCGACCACGCAACACTTGTCTTGGCAGGTCAGCGAGAAGAAATCCGAGAGGCTAATGCGCGGGCTGATCTCCGTGAGGAGCACCTCCATCGGTATTTCGACGACGTCCTGCGAACAGAACACAAATTTCTCATACATAGAATAAGATTGGGGCACTAATTGCAAAACTTGTAATAAATACCCTTGCTGTTTGTTTATGAATGGCCAGGCACAGAATGCCGATTGCTGGTAAGTGGCGTTTTGGCCTTTTAGATGATAACTGTCCTAGCTCATTTAATGCCAATCCTTATAAATGGTATGAGGGCACAAACCACCATAAAGTTACGTGAAGTCGTGTACTTTTGAAGCATTTACTTATAATTCCTATTAATATACATTCCAAACTTTGATATATCACATTTTTACCAACACATTTTATTTACGCCATCTGTGCAATCTCAGTAATAGTAATTGATCATTCACGGTTGCTAATGTTGCCGTAAATGTTAGGGTAAGTGGAAATATCGATAGCGAGCTATTTTACCGCCACAAAGTGCAAAAACATTTCGCGAATCAGCATAAAAATGCGATAACACGATGGCGGTGTGATTTATTAATGCGCTTGCAACTGCCGCGGCGGCCTTCTGGCGGGCGTCGATAAAGCAAACATCGCAAATATCTGTGTCGCCACGCAATGCTCCAGAATGTTCTTTTTAACACGTTTCCAGCTTACCCGCGTGTTTGTGCATATGAGTGCGACGGATTCAAGTCCCACGTTTGGACGGCGGAAAGCCTACGCTGAATGGCATACGCTCTTTTGTACAAGATTCTTATGCGAGGGCAAGTTCATCTTCGTATTTTTTGTAATTATTATTATTTCGAAAATGTTCAGGTTTCATCAAGATGTTTTCCTTCATCGCTGGGCACGTAACAACTCAGAACTTAAAACTATTACAATTAACAACTTAACCGGTTTAAAATTAGATTGCTCAATAATATTGAATTAAAAGAATTTTGCAAATCCGTCTATATATAACGAAATTATGACCGAACATACATGAAAATAAATAAAAACATCCGAATTGATAACCTCCTTCTTTTTGAAGTCGGTTCAAAAGCCAGCAACCCGACACTGAGCTATCACGGCTACCATTTATTCTTGTTTACTATATTCTGATTATCATTGCAATAAACAAAGCTGTTTTTTTTAAGACCAGTCGCCCCTAAAGTCGTAAATAAACCAAAAACTAGAATTAAACTCATATACGTGTCAAGAAGTGTCTATCAAATATGTATCCAAACATTCTGGGATATAATTTTACACGACTTGTCTTGTCACAAACTAGGCTGTACTATTGGTAGCAGGCAACTGATAAACAATGTTTTTTTTTTAAATATATAAATACATATTGTACTTTGTGCATACAACGTCGTACAATGTTAAGACACTAGGAAAACACTCCTTAAACAATGTTTATCCAATAGTCTGAACCGCGCCCAATCCTCTGCCTCGAGAGAAATGTTTACCATATCCTACGGCAATAGAATTTATTATTAATAACATTAAATTCCTATATATTATTTAATGTTGTGTTAAATACAAATTGACGCCTATGTGGGCGGTCTGAAAACATAGTTTGCGCCAAATGCGCAGAGTTAGTTTTAAACTCACAAAGTTCATCGGAAACTATGGGTCGTCGACGATGGTTTAATCAACTTTGAAATAGCAACCGTCGGTGTCACCGGCTCTATTATTTTTAAATGGTGATTGTGAGTCGATTTGAGTTGTGCACAATACATTTTAATTGCGCTGAGTCATTTCAACGGTTATTATCGTATTGTCTATCGAGAATTAGCGATTCGGAATTGTTAAATTATGATAAATTTTTATCATTAATTAACAACATATTCTCGGAGTTTCTGGACTTTCAATAGGTATCATCACTTATTTAATCACCGCCCATGGACTTTGCAACACTTCGCAGATCCTTTGCCATCTTTTAATTGAGTGAGCCTTGAATATCTCACTCACCAAGCGAAACGCAGTAGTATAACACTGTACTTGACAAGCTGGCTTATTCCTGCAGCGGTTGCTGTTACGTAACAGCCGTTCTCATGCACAGTCAATAGTAAAAATACATTTAGAAGAAATTCAACTCCTGATTCGGTGAAAATTAATTACGTACGCAGAAAATGCTCAAATTCCAATGTGCCGCAAATAAATAGAACTGAACCCATTCGAAGCGTTACCGAACGATTCGCTGCACTGATAGCTCAGGTATGCGTGTGTACTGCGAATGGGTCGTCGAGAGCGAGACGTCAGAGTAATAATAGCTTAGTTTAAAGTAATTTTAGGTTATACACGTTTACTTAGACTTATTTAATAGCTTAAACTTAAAGCTAGTAAAACAGAATGTATATAGCCGAATAATTACGCTGTAAGCGATTGTGCAACTTGTAGTAGAGCGGAGCAGAGCAAATGGACTACAGCGCGAACGAGAGGGCAATACGGAGAGTATTACTGATTTTTGTATATAATACTTGGGTAATAATTAGATGATGTAACTAGCCAGACGTTTTTAAAATATCCAACCCCTCGCCCGACAAACATTGTAAATCTTAAGAAGAGATTAGTTTAGTTAGAAGTATAGTTTTGGCGCAGATTTATAAAACCGATAACCTATGTAAATTTTAAAAACATCTTAAAAAAAAAAAACATTCGATGCTACAACTACCTTAAATTGTTAAAAAAAATATATTTTGTCAATAACAGGTTAGAAATGGCCAAATACTTAAAATATTTCTCAAATATTTAATTAAAAATAGGTTTAATGAAATCGACTATTACACTATAAAGTGAAAAACGTTTACCTCCCAAAGCCCAGGTAACGCAAAGTCCATAATGGTCCACCGTTCTTACCTGTGTTGGGAGCATGCGCTGACAAACTTTCAATTTTTATAAAAGGACGAATGTCTGGCTTTAGGAGGTCGTGTGCATATTTGATTCAGTCTTGTGCAATTGAAATTATGTTCAATTGATTATTCAACAAATCTTACCATGGGGTCCTTCAATTCGGGCTCGTTCGTGAAACGCCTGTAACATATACTCCGCGGCGAGTTGCGGCACATTTCGATCGATTCCTATAAAACATTAACGTGTTATTGAGTCGAATTTCATTGTTATGGATAATGTGGAACAAGTCGTATAGAATGTTAGGCTCGACTTCTATCTCATCGAGAGTCCCGTTTTAAATCAATTACAAATCTGTACTGCACCGACAAAAATGACCTTTTTATTGTGTGAGAAAGTTGCGAAAGAGCTGGCGGTTCACCTGATGTTAAGTGATAACCGCCGCCCATGGACATTTGCAACACTTGCCTTTTAACAAAGTGGGCCCAGAACACTTCCCCTTCAAGCCGGTCCTCTGTGAGGTCGTAGGCACTTACCCGGACGGACCTGCCCATTCCTGCAACGGCGAACACTATTTCGTTGCCCTACCACAGTTAGAGGAATGGAAGCGATTTAATCACACTGTCGCTTAGCCCTATCACAGAGAAATGGAAGCGATTTTATTAGAAAAATTTATAAAAAAAAAGGGTCTCACTTTGACGCACTCCCCGATGTCGATCTCGGGCAGATCGGAGAACAGGAGGATGCATTCATTGAACCCGGAGTCCAGGAGTGTGTCCCTGAGCTGCCTCAGGATGCCCACGCCCATAAACAGCGGGAGGGAGGGCCCCTCCACTAGCAGGGCGTCCCACAGGTGGACGATTTTGTGCAGCGGGAACACGTCTAGCAACATTAAGAATAAAAAAAAGTAAAGTAACAGCCTACACATGTCCTACTGCTGGGCAAAGCCTTGTCTATACAGAGGGTATCAGGGCATAGTCCACCACGCGGCCCCACTGCAGATTGGCGGACATCACATATCTTCCAAATATATTTTTTTTTGTTATTATCTCGAAAATGTGCAGGTTTCCTCACGATGTTATCCTTCACCACTGAGCACGTGATATGTCATCACTTAAAATTAACAATTTCATTGGTACCGGCACCGGGGATCGAGCTCGAGTATGTTGAATTAAATTCGAGCGCCCGGACTCTGAGCTATCACGGCTAAATTAAGAATGATATAACATGTTTATAATTACTGATATTGATGAAAGGCGGAAACGAGGCTGCGCTTTCGGCCGAAGCGCAGAATTTTCGGCAAACTTCGCTTTCGCAACTTCGCTATGAACCACAAGACCGTTGGTCATTGTGACCAGAAATGTGGCACAAATCCACGGGACGAAGTGAAGTAGTAGTGCTCGCAGTAAAGTCCTGGTAATTACCACGTCTAAAAATACTCCTGTTTAGATTTTGAGGTGGAAATTTGGGAATATCGTGGGGAAAACTGCAATATTTTCTGCACCCTTTTTTTTCGTGACACATTTTTTACACAACGTTCTCTAGACCCAAACTAAGCAACGCTTGTACTATGGGTACCAGAATAACTCATAGACACACTTAAACATACTTTTCTTCTGTAAATAAATACTTATATAAACACTGGAAAAACACTACTCATCACACAATATTCCAGTAACGGGGATCGAGCCCGCACCCTACAGCGCGAGTGGCAGGTACACCACCTCTACGCCGATAGGATCTAAAGGAATATATAAACTCACGCGAGAACATGGTGAGGAACCAGGGTATGGCGAACAGCTCCGGCACGAAGTTGATCTCGTGCAGGTGCGTGGCCAACTCGGGCTCGTGGTAGGCGGCCATCTGCCAGAACTTGGCGAGGTACTCCTTTATCACGGCGCTGTTGTCCTTCAGGAAGAACTTGTGCAGGAAGCGGGGCACGAACGCCGAAAGGCACGCGAAGGCGCGGGCTGAAATTGTATTGGATAGGATAGAATTTGTTTCACCGTAAATTACAATGTACGCCAAACAAAATGCTGCAGTCGTAGCAGATGTCCATGGACGGCGGTATTCACTTAACATCAGGTGACCCGTCTGCTCGTTTGGCAACTTTTCGCATAAAAAAAATTAATAACACACTATAATCTACGTGACAAGTCAACAAAAAAAACCGGCCAAGTGAGAGTCGGACTCGCACCACGGTACCACTAACTATAAAAACGGCAAAAAGTCATGTCCGTTGTATGGAAGCCCCTTTAATATTTTTTTATTTTACTGTTTTTAGTATTGTTGTTACAGCGGCAACAGAAATACATAAACTGTGAAAATTTCGACTATCTAACTATAACGATTCATGAGATACAGCCTGGTGCAAAGCGGACAGACAGCGGAGTCATAGTAATAGGGTACCGTTTTACCCTTTGGGTACGAAACCCTAAGGAGAAAAATTACATAGTGATAGTTATTATAAATACAAATTTATAAAGGTAAAGATAGCCCGGGGGTTTATTTAGTTCAACATAATGGTAAATTTTTTTTATCTTCCATGCTAGCCAAAGGATTGTGCTACGGCAAGGTAAGACATATATGTTTGGCTAATGTAGATTCGTCTAATGGTTCACCCATTGGCGAAGGAATTGAATAAAACGGCTCGGAAGGATCTCTCTAGTAGTCATTCAAGCTGAACCAGAGGAAGAAATAGAAAGCTAAAGCGTACAAATGGGGTACGGCATTGAAGTCGAGCAAGCCTAAAATAAGAACGATATTTGGATAAAACCCGTGTCATCGAGATGGTTCAAACAAGTTCAACAAGCTCTCTTGCACTGACAACAATCAACACAATTACTAACATAATACAGTGACCCAATAGGTTAGCACAAGTGTCTGGCAATAAATATACTACACTCATACGTGCAGTTACTAGACATAAGAATGATGTGTAAATTTATATATACCTAAATGATATGTGTATTGTTCTATATTAAAGCAGATAGTCCCGTCTTAACAGAAAAACAGAAATTCATCAATATCATCAATTTGTATAATCGACAGTGCTGAAACCAGCGGAAACGCGGAGAACGGAACCCTGGCGGTGACAGTAGACAGGTAGACAGGTGACAGTATTCGGTATACGTACCCTCGTTGCAGAAGTTCATGTACAAGAAGGGCGCCGTTAAAGAGTCCAGGCCCTGCCAGTACACGTACTGCGGGTTGGTGAGTAGCCAGGCTTTCAGGAGTCGCTTGAGAGCGCGGTGCCCAGCCGGTCCACACAGCAGCCAGCAGTACTGGTGGCAGCGCGGTATGTCCACGTCTATCTGCCGGGAGAAGGCAGTACTCAATGTCATTAACCTCCATCATTTGTTCATCTAGCTGTGGGACTGGCAAATAACAGCCAGAAGTATTGGTGGTAGCGCGGTATGTCCACGTCTATCTGCCGGGAGAAGGCAGTACTCAATGTAATTAACCTCCATCATTTGTTCATCTAGCTGTGGGACTGGCAAATAACAGCCAGAAGTATTGGTGGTAGCGCGGTATGTCCACGTCTATCTGCCGGGAGAAGGCAGTACTCAATGTCATTAACCTCCATCATTTGTTCATCTAGCTGTGGGACTGGCAAATAACAGCCAGAAGTATTGGTGGTAGCGCGGTATGTCCACGTCTATCTGCCGGGAGAAGGCAGTACTCAATGTCATTAACCTCCATCATTTGTTCATCTAGCTGTGGGACTGGCAAATAACAGCCAGAAGTATTGGTGGTAGCGCGGTATGTCCACGTCTATCTGCCGGGAGAAGGCAGTACTCAATGTCATTAACCTCCATCATTTGTTCATCTAGCTGTGGGACTAGCAAATAACAGCCAGAAGTATTGGTGGCAGCGCGGTATGTCCACGTCTATCTGCCGGGAGGAGGCAGTACTCAATGTCATCATCCTTTATCATTCGTTCATCTAACTGTAGCACTGGGCATCTAGCTGTGGGACTGGCAAATAACAGCCAGAAGTATTGGTGGTAGCGCGGTAGTCCACGTCTATCTGCCGGGAGAAGGCAGTACTCAATGTCATTAACCTCCATCATTTGTTCATCTAGCTGTGGGACTGGCAAATAACAGCCAGAAGTATTGGTGGTAGCGCGGTATGTCCACGTCTATCTGCCGGGAGAAGGCAGTACTCAATGTAATTAACCTCCATCATTTGTTCATCTAGCTGTGGGACTGGCAAATAACAGCCAGAAGTATTGGTGGTAGCGCGGTATGTCCACGTCTATCTGCCGGGAGAAGGCAGTACTCAATGTAATTAACCTCCATCATTTGTTCATCTAGCTGTGGGACTGGCAAATAACAGCCAGAAGTATTGGTGGTAGCGCGGTATGTCCACGTCTATCTGCCGGGAGAAGGCAGTACTCAATGTCATTAACCTCCATCATTTGTTCATCTAGCTGTGGGACTGGCAAATAACAGCCAGAAGTGTCTCTCTCCCTGATGATCTTGGGCAGGGCCACGGCGTCGTAGTCCCGCCTTCTCTCGTGCATAAGCGGGTAGAAGTCTTTCGGTGGCACGTGGCTGAGGCGCGTTTCCAGGAGGTCCAAGCTGTACTTGGCGATGCGACGGTCGAACAGGGCACCGCTCTTACCTCCTATAACGCTCCCGTCCAGAAGTATCGCTCTGCAGGCGAGGTATACTTTCTATCTAGATAGCCACGTGAACTGCAGATGTTAACTATATGTGTCACTGCATATGGCGCATGGAGGACACTACAAACCTAATTAGTTGTCATAGCCAGTTGTGTTCAAATCATAACCAGTTAAATAGCTTTCATTCATTTTAATGGTCTACAGCGATGTAACGGAGCACACAAATCAGACACAGAGAAGTATACATATTATGTATTTACATATTATGTATACTTCTTTGTGTGTATTGAATTTCAAGTATATCTTAACAATTAAAATAAATGGCATGTGATCCAATAAACCTAAGGCAAGCGATATGATGTCAAGAACACTATTAAAATCCTTGCTAAATAGTGAACCTAACCTATGAATGAGTACCTCTCAGTAGCTACAGCAATAAATCCAGGGCATAATTTTTTCAAAAAATGAGGGGTCTTGGGTCACCAATTAAAATAATAATTTTATTTTATCCAATAATTTATTTTATTCAATAATTTTATTTTATTCATAAAGGCAATGTTATAATGAATTAGTATCTCATCACTTATTATGCTCATTTCAAGAATAATGTACTGGCTGTTTAATAGAAGTTACCTGGTTGTTATTTATTATAAATAGTTGTAAAGCAATATAAGCCAAATATGTAATGAATTCATGCAATCTACTCACATTGGCATTGACAAAATAGGTGGACTATTTTTAATCAACCCATTCTTCTTCAACTCCGCTTGGATATCACCACCTGTCAGTTGCCACCAGTGATACAAGTATTGAAGCTTACATCCCATAAGACCTCGAGGTTTTTTTACTTCAACCAATGTCTTGCTGTTAATCTGTGATAATTCCTCAACCAATTCTGCAAAAGTCACTCGTTCGCTTGGGTAAATTTTTAGACATTTCTCTATGATGTTGCGCAAGTTATCTGGTACTAACTGAAACAATGGAAATATTTTTATTTTTATTTAAATTTAATTTTATTTAAACCAATATTAAATGGCGTAAAAGTATTTTTTTATTAGTTATTGAAAATCCAATACATTAGGTTATTTAACTTTAATATTTACTCTTTTTGGTATCTCTCTCTATCTCTTTTTAGTTACTTGAATAATGGAACAGTTAAAATAATGTTTATAATATATTATTATGAATATTTCATTTTATAATTTTTAAATCTTAGTTTAATAAGTGATCCAGTTCTCAAGGGAGGGTGAAGTCAGACAGTCTACTGGTTATAATACACCTAGGTATTAACATAAACAAATTGATTCAATTGTTATACCAATGTCACCTGGGTGGGATAAGTGCAGTAGGATAATGAATGATAAGTTTGAGTGATAGAAATAAAGACTGATCGTTTCATTTTAGTTACAAAGGATACAGAAAATCTAATCACCTTATATGCTTCAAAGCAATCATGCTCTCTTGCTATTCTCTCTGCTGGGTTTGCTGCATGCACAAGTGTTAAAATTCTACGGAGAATCGGACCAGGTTTCAAGTTTTGCCACAACCTACCAATGCATAACTCCAATAGAATCATTCCAAAAGTCCACACATCTGCAGGTGGTCCTCCACCATTCAGAATTGTTTCAGGGCTCAAATATCGAGGGAGTCTAAAATTACAAAATGTTTAGTAAAAAAAACTGTCTAATATGAAACTAGATTTAGAAACAGGTTAAAAAATAATGGTCAGCAAGATTTCATAAGTTTTGCTAATATTTAACATACAATTATTGATTTAGTATGAAAGGGAAAGATGTACAGTATGGTATAAACTACATATACAAACCCAAGAGGAAACGGGACATCTGACCCTCCACCTGTCATGTAGTACATTCCATAGTTAAATAGTTTCACCCTACCAATGCTATCTATTAATATGTTGTCATCTGCTAGAGTTCTATGGATGATATTTTGATTATGAAGAAAAAGCATAGCCATTGCTATCTGTAAACCAATGTTAGTGACTTCATCAAAGGAAAATTTTGACTTACACTCTTCTAGTGACTTTCCTATTACTTCAGTAACAACTATTATTCTCTCTGAAAATAAATACAGTGGTTGAATTACTGTATCTGAATCAATGTAATTTATAACTGATTTTGTTCAGCTCGTCTATCGAAAACTATGAAAAGGTTAACTTAATTTAAAAAATTTAAAATTTTAATTTCTTACCATGCTTTCCTCGTATTACATCAAGATATGTACATAAATTAGGGTGTTCTATGGTAAGTAAACGTTGTGCTCTACCGAGAATTGAAATTGAGCTCGGTGTTAACGGCAATCCATTACTGCCACAGCTTTCCCCTGGATGATTTTTCGCAAAATATGTACATGCAGCAAATATATGTTTCTCATTATTGTCATCCCTCATTGTAATAATAATTATTATAATAATTAACAAAACAAACTGTTTAGTGTTTATTATTTTTTCTAAAAATGACATTGATAATTGATATCAGAGTTGCCATTGCCTAAATGAAAATTTATCAAATTCCCTAACAATAAAAGTCAATTTTCTCAAATATCCGGCGAAAAATCTGCTGGTACTTTCCTTCAATAAACATTAAAAATGAAACAACTTTTTAAATTTTACGAAAAGTTAATCAGTGTCACTTTATCCAGTGGTCTTTCCACACTATGATGGCCAACACAAGGACTTGAGGACCTTTCTTTGACATCGGGTATATATACGAGCTAGAAATTTTACTTTAATATTGAAACTTCTTTGAGTAAAATTTCAAGACCGTGTCGCGAGGCATCATCACGAAAAACTATCATGCCCATAATGCTTGCATGATTGTGATGTGTGACGATGATTGATGTAAGTTGCTTCATTCATGCGTATGTTGAAATATTATTCACTAGCTGCTGCCTGCGAATACGTCTGCGTAGAATAGGCTGAAGGCGTAACATTCAGACAGAAAGACATATATACATAAATCTTGAAAGGTAGATGTGGCTAATGGGATCACTCTCAAACCAAAAAGACACTTAAGAACTGATTATAAAACTATTTATTTTAACTTAAACGTACGTAATCATTATGAAATTTATGTAAAATACAAGATTTAAGTCAGATAGCTAGACATGTTACTTCTTTAAGCGATTTTTACGGAATCAATCAAATATGACACAATTCAATCTGAACAAATTAAACTAACATTCCAAATTTAAAGTAATTCAAACATAATACATAAATCAAACAGGTCAGAATTGATATCAAAAGACTATGTATAATCTGAGATTACCAATCAACAATAAAAATATGTAATTATTCATTCTATGTTTTATTCTGATGTATAAGCTATATTATTGTAAAGTTTCATTAAAATCCATTCAGTAGTATTTGCGTGAAAGAGTAACAAACATCCGTTCATACATACAAACTTTCGCCTTTATAATAAGTAGGAAGGTAGTAAGAAAGTAAAGATTCCTTTATCATATCAGTCTCACGCCCAGATTCTAAAATAGTGTTCATCGTAGAAATTAACTAATCAGCCGTCAAATGCCTTTTCAAATGTCATTTGAGTTGCCAAAAGGATGATTTATCACTTTGAATTGATCATTCTGATCATTGTTCATTAAGAATATCATTCTGGATAAGAAAATTCATTAACATGATTTTATTATAAACTAGTATTATGATAAATGACATTTACTAAATATTAAGTTTACTGTATTTTGAAACAATTTGTTTCTTTACCATTATTTTATCATTTGTGATATCTTGAGGACCGCCAACTGCCTTAGAAGAAGAAGAAGATCATTCTGACTTGAAAAAAAATATTGATCTTCATTTATTTTCTGTCTAATTTGTCTATGGTTCTGAGTTTCTGACATTACCTTTGTGCAGTGTTTCCACAATGAGGGGAAATTCCCTATTTGAGGGGAAATTAGGGTCCGTAGGGGGAGAAAAAGGGGAAGACATTAAAAGGGGAAATTGCGGGAAATCATGAGTAAAACCTAGCTTAAAATATTGCGGTAAATTTTGGAACTATTTTTTATGGACTCTACCGTGGACTAGCGGGTTGCCGTATAAAAGAAACAGTGACAATGTAAAATTGTTTTTCTCTGAATCTGAGATTCCTAGCCGAAAACTTTTTTTGTTAATGAAAAAAGAATTATCAAGCTTTATTTTAAGCTAACATTTATCGAGACACAAAAATATTTGTAAGTGGCCCAAGCTCCATACTGAGTTGGTCATTCTCCTTTTGTCGATGATTTTGTTGACGCATTTAGTGTAAATAATATTATCATAGTATAGTATCAAAAGGCGCGTGGGCAGGCTATAGAAGAAAATCAATAAAGACCTTTTTTTAGTTACTACACTAGGGCCAGAACTAAAAAGTACAGCAGAAAAATTTTTGAGGGTAAAAAAGCCCTGAAAGGGGAAATTTGAATTGAGGTGTGGGGAAAGGAAATCATTAAAGTGGAAACACTGTCTTTGTGTCTTCTTGCTTAAGACTTGCTCTGCTCACTTTCTTTCGATTTCGATTGTTTCGTTTATTCATATTAGAAGATTAATCGACAAATTTAATTATTATAGACTGTGTATTTATAAGACATTGTTTACTTTCTGGAATCATTTTCATAAAATTGTGCATTACATAGAAGTGTCGTGTATTTAACTTATGACGATTTAATTTTGTACCTTTAGACTCAAGATGGCTAGTGTAGAAAACATTCCTACTGTAAATAATGAGTCGGAGATGGAAGAAGGAGAAATAGTAGATGATTTGGATGATCTTTCTGACATATCATCTGAAGAAGAATTCTTGTTAAGACAGCGACTGCAAGTTTTGGAAAGTTATAACAATGTCCTTGAAAGAAAGAAAGCAAAAAGGGCCTCGATTTTGTCAGGTAAAGATTGCTTTTACAACAACTAAAGGAAAGTTTTAAAATGTAACTTCAAATTTGAAATATATCTTAATATTGGTATTTTGTGAAGAAAATTCCTCGATATTGTGTTAAAGTTATTGTTAAATTAAAAAAATGTGCAAACACCACTGCAATCTTAAATCATTTGGGATCAGCCAGGATAAATGTTGGTTGAGCCTGGGAACTTTTGTTTTCTATTAGTAAAAAAATAAAAATTATCCTAACAATTCTAATTTTCAAGGTGAAATTATATAACATTGGCTCTAATTATGATCTTATCTATGTTGTAATCTAATAAAGTATCATGTTGTATTATGGTGGCATTTTATTAGAAAGATGATACAAGGTTTTGTTTATGTTACTATTATTAAAGTAGGTGAAACTGACATTTCTTATATTACTTTATGTAAGTTCCTATAAATGCTTATTGACCTCTGTAGACCTGGAAAGGTCTTTCACACCGAAGGATGATATGTGTTTAGATTTTGACAAAAAAAAATTAAATGTCATATGCTTAGAAAAGCCACCATTACATGACTTACAAAATTATTATTTATTAATTTATGTTAATTATTAACTCCATAGATTAAAATATTTGTATATAATAATGTGTGCGACTATTTAAAACAATTATGATAATTATAATAAATAATATTCAGTGGTTTAATAATGGCCTTAGGATGTCTCCAAGGTTGTATCAAACCTGTGACACACCCGGTGTCTGAAACAATGATCATCATAGAAGTTAACTAATCAGCTGTCAAATGGCTTTTCAAATGTTAATTTGAGTAGCCAAAAGGATGATTAAACTCCCTGAATCCATCAAAATAGTCTCCTTAATGATCAGAATGATCAATTCAAAGAGTTTGATAATCCTTTTAGCTACTCAAATATCATTTGAAAATCCATTTGACAGCTGATTAGTTGATTTCTACGATGATCAGTGTTTTAGAAACCGGGCATGAATGCTGCAGTGAAAAACTGTTACAGTAGTGGGGCCTTATACAATGGGTGTTTTTGTATAATTAGGTATTAAGATGTTTTTTTCATCAGTGTTTTTGTTTAATTAGGGTAAGATTTGTTTGCATTAATTTTCTACTTGTATTATCTTAGAATAATTCAAAGAATTGAACATTTTTGTATATAAATGAACAAAAATTTTCAGTCCTGCAGGATTCGAATCTACATCTTCTGGATTCGTGCCCAGAAAATCTGTAAAGTTTTTGTTCATTTGGTTGTCTTGTATACAGAGGCCAGCACTAAAAATAAAAATTGATCCCAAAAATAATTAAAATTCTTCAGTGTGATTGTCTGTTTTTGTGTATTTTTTCAACTCTTTTTCTTAAATATAATACAAGTATCAATAATTATTAATGTTTATTATGGTAGGGCAACATAACAGTTTCTGCTGGTACGTGAATTAGGTAGGGGACTCGAAAAAAAAAAATCAAATATACTTTTTCATTTCATCTCCTGAGTGAGATGACTGGGCCCACTTTTTTAAAAGGCTGACACTGCACCTACAGCCTCACATACACATACATATCACATACTCTGGCTTGTGTATTACCAATATATAAAAATATTAAATTCATTAATTAGTTTTTATTACATAATTAATGCTTCAGCTGAAGATAAAATTTATTTGAACAAAATAGACGACTAGGGATTTTTAATATTGGTAGGCAATGTGATATCTATTAAAGGTCTGTTTAACTTATTTTTAATTTGTAGAAATTTGTAAAATGTATTACACAATAGCTTGGATAGTCCATATCCATGTTAATTGGTAATGCCACCTGCCTCCCACTTACTATCGAGGCTGTGTATATTCTACTTCAAATATTAATAAAATTCCTCATTCTCTTAACTCTGCTTGAGGAAAATGACCTTTCTTTCCTTATCCATAAACATATTGCTTGCTTAAATTCATAAATAAATAAAACCCTCTAGATTAATCTATACCATGACTTATGTATTATGTTTATAAAGCATGATTATTTTTGATAGCTTGGACTAATGAGACTATTGTAATTATGTTTTTATATTTATGGTTATACCATACATTTATATCCTAGTTATAAATTATATATAAGTCAATGTAAACCTTTTTCCATATCACAACATATCGAAATAGTAATATTAAAAAAAAAGAAGTCACAAATTTTTTCCTATTATTTCATGATAACAATTTTACAAGTTGTATGTACTTATAATTTTTAGGTAAAGATGAACATAAAACGGAAATGATTTTACATGATCTCTCAGAAATATCGGCAACTGAGTTAGATGATAGTTCTCGATTAGATAAATACAAGTGTCATAAAGATCAATCATATAAGAAATTAAGTCATAGAGACAAGAAAATAGGTTTGCCAAGTAGTTACAAAAGAAGCAAAGAACATAAGAAAAGAAGTCATCGTAAAAGAAGATTAGAGGTAAAAATAATAAGTGAATCAAGTGAAGAATCAGATGATGAATATAAAGATAAAAGACAAAAATTAGCAGAAGCTGTGACATTAAATAAAGCTAAATCGGATACTTCTACGCTCAAGACTAGACTAGAAAAAATGTTGTATGGAGCTAAAAAAGAAGACTGTGCGAATATTGCAAAAAAAGCGTTTAATAGGTTAAAAAACGAGGAAGAGAGTAATGGTGGCATTGAAGGTGTTGTAGACAATAATGTTGAAAGTATTCAAGAAATTAATGTTGAGTCAAAAAATGATGTTATCTACGTTGAGGGTCAATGTCAGAAAAATAGAACCATTGCAGGATGTAAAAATAATGAACAAGAAGAACAGATACCAGTTTCATATGAATTAATAGATTTAAGCTCTGAAGACACATCCAATTTGGAACTCAAAGGAAATGATGTTGTAGATTCAAATAATAAAGAAAATGTGGAAGCAAAAGATATTACAAATAAAGATAAAAAGGAAGACTCTGACGATGATCTGGAAATTCTTAGGCAGCATGCCCTCAAAACCAAAAATTTTAAATCAAAATTCCATGAGATGAAAAAATCAATAGGAAAATCTAAGACTTTATCAGAAGAAGATGATAGCGATACATCAGAATTAAGACTTATTTGTCTTAAATCCGCTTTGTTAAAAAAAGCAATTGAGATGAAATTAAAACAAAAATTTAGAAAAAGGTTGAAATCCAAAACTATGAGTCTACAAGATGATCTCATGTTTGATCAAGAAGAATTGAGGACTGGTTCAGATGTTGACAATAATACTGATATAGAATCTGTTGATATGGATATCGGATCAGATGGTGATGATAAAGTCAAAGAATCAAGCGGAAATCCTGGTGTAAACTTACAACAAAAATCAACAAATTCAAATTCTATTAACAGCAATATTCCGAAATCCAACAAAGATGATGAACTCGAGGAAGACGAAGATTTGTTAAGAGCTAAGTTATTGACGTCGCTAAGTAAGAATTTGCCGAATTTAGTACATATGGATATTATACATACAATTGATAATGATGACAAAACAGATGACATCAATAAAACAAAGCAGGCTGCTTCTGAAGAAAAGAAGTTTATTATTAATTTACAGGATTCTGATTCCGAAGTTGAACATGAAGCTACAAAGAACTTAACTAAAATGCATATGAAATTGTCAGAGCAAGAAGATTTTCAACAGAAACTTGATTTATTCCTTAAAACAACTCGTATGCAAGTTGAAAACTCTTTACTTCCCGATGTTGTGCAACAACCTCCGGTTCCTAAGCCACACAATAAATATGTTGCTAAGGTAGGATTATATTCTAACATGTCTTTTATTTTACTTTTGTGTAGGTGAATAGTGTATTATTAATATAATTTTTCAGGCTGTAAATCACTTACCTAGGTCTGAGCAAATAGAATATAAGAATTTGGTGAAAAGAATGGCTGAATTAGAGAAAATAAAACATGCAAGGCAAATATCTATGAACACTCAAAGTAGTTCATCAGTTTTGAAAGACACATTAAAGCCTAGAAATGTATCTGTACATAGTAAAAATCCATTTCCTACCAGTAACCTAGAAGAAAAAATTGCTGTTTCAAGGTAAAGAAATCTGCAGTATATTTTAATTTGTTAGTTGTTTCATTAAGTTCTCTGAACAATTTATTCTATTCCAAATACCAATTCTTCGCCCTTATGGCATGTCCAAATTGGATCCTAACACTTCTGTTTCTACATTTCTCTCTGAATATATTTAGAAACACTTTCTTTCATGATTTTTTTGAAATAAATTTAGTTCTAATATTATTTATTTCCTTTTTCACAATCTTATTTTTCATGCTTTTAACCCCATGACTGAATCCTGTGAAAGTTCGGGAAAGTTATAACAGTTCTGAAATGATATGATACCTTCGAAACTATCTCAATATCAAAGAGAATCATACATTCTGTATTTATGAAGGAATTTTACCACAGAAAAAATATTGCGGAGGAGTCTGCTAAAATGCTGAGATTAAAAGAGGAGGCAACAAAACTGTCGCAAAAATATAAAATAGTTGCAACTGAGCTGCGAAACATTTCTACTGCAATCACACTAAATAAAAAAGAACAACGGACAGTTCAAAGTAAATTGTCAAGAATAAGAGTGCAGCATCAAATATTATTGAAAAGGTATATTTGATAAATTATTTTTTTGGGATTAATTGTACAAATTTCTAATGTGGCTCGTAAATATTTATTTACAGCTCAAATTTTAAGCATTCCACTGGATCACCCCCTGTAAATCAGGCGAATAATAAATCTGTTGTCAGTAGTTTACAAAAAGAAAACAACCCAACCAAAGAGGTTCATAAAATTCCTACAATGCTCAAGGCAGTAACTGTTAGTGTTGTGAATAATTTGAGCAAAGTAAACAGTGAGCCTAGCTCCCAGATTTCAGTGCAAGTTGATGTCAATAGTAACAAAAAATTTGTTAAATTACCTAAGAACCTAGAGAAAGAGAGGATTGTTAGTGTTGTTGAAGAGAAATTAGAAACTAGTGAAGGAAAAGCAGATGTTACATCCAAAGAGCCAGTAACCTGTGACAAAAAAGACACTAATCATCCAGTTAAAGAAAAAGTTGCTTCATTGATTGGATGTGGCAACAATGATAGAAATGATTACCAATCTCCACTTCAAGTGTTTGGATCAACTACGTAAGTGATAATTTGTTTACTGGTAATTATGTTATTCATGTACAGGTTGTCGGAGTTTGTGGACATGCATATTTTGAAATACCCATTGCGAAAAAGTAAGTAGTAAATTTAATTAATTGTTTTTAGAGGTAATTATCTTTACATATTTTAGGAACGTGCTAGATTACGATTCTGTATGGTAACGGCAATAATCCTAAAGAAACTGGTTTAATTCACTTTACGCTTATTTTGTTTAAGATTCCACCTGCATCGTGTTCAACTTGTTAGTTTCTCACGCAATCTGGCATGTTACTGAAATCTAATTATTGTATCACCAATTGTCTATTTACAGCGACAGATTAATATTTATTTACGTTCACGGAAAGGTTTAGATCGTTGCCAGTATTTCTAATTGATATGTCGTACGAGAGTTTTGTCGTTATTTGCGATGGTAGTTTACTACGTAACAAGCATGCCGCGTGGATTGAGCGTTGCGTACGCACATCGCCGCACCGCACTGCGATGTAAGTATGCACATGAACTGTCCACGGGCGGGGTCCGGCATTCGTAACTTGGCGAATGGCTGTTTTGCAGTTGGACGGAGGACCCGAACGCCGTGCTGTGCCCGTACGAAGTCGCCGGCAGCTGCAGGGACCCCGGTTGCAAGTTCCTCCACCCAAAACTCCCGTCGCGTCAATGACGCACGATCACCGTGTCCGAATACCTCGGACGCATGCACAATGGCCGCCGCAAATGAGGGCCGGTCCACGGCACGAGCTCTTTCCAACCTCCCCACCCCTACAACCCTCCAACCCCCCCTCCCGTTCTCCCCGCACTCACTGCCGCGACAGCACTGGACTCTGCATCGACGTGTAAAGTATTTTATGTGGCTATTAATATTTATCGAATTGCATGTACTAAAATTACTTTACGTACGTTGTTTTCTAATTTCACACGAAATTTAATATATATTTTTTTATTTATTCCTGCAGTTGTATGGTTCGTTTGAATTCCTTATTATTTACAAGTGTGCAATCGAAGTGTTCGACCTTTTTTAGTATATTGCTTATAAATTTGCTTTTTTATGTCCCAAATGATCTATTTATAATTTTTTTTCTCAATCTACTGTCAATCAAGCATTCCTATTATTCACGTCTCCTTTAGCAATTAATGTCCGATGAGTCATTAATGATAGTTATTAAATAACGAGTTAAGAATTGACTTTCTAAATACAATCACGTGAAGTTAAAAATAATCACTCATAACACTGTATGATTTATATAGTGTAATTGGTACGCTCACTTCTACTCTGCGCCAAGCGATTTGTACTTTTAACATTTCTATGCAATTCTAGTTGGTGCTGTTCGTGTCCGTCGGTGTCTTCAGCGGCAGTGGTAAGTTGAGTGTAACTTATAAAATAGTGAATTAGTAGTGCATTGAACACGTGAGACAAGGACAGCAGGTGATGGCGGCACTTGGTAAAAATACGTGTCCCCGAATGGACCATTATCCCAATTTGAGTCGGGTTATTTCTTCCATTAAAAACTATAATATAATGTACATTGTGTAAAAAAGGTTATGAATAAATGAGTGATTGTAGTGCGGACTTTAATTTCTTCACCCATTAAGACATCGAAAATGAAAGGGGATATTAAATTAACAAGTAGACATTTTATTCGGACAATGTAAAAGAAAATACAAATTATAATATTTCTCCTTCACACAGATACACTTATATAGACAAAAATACGTATATTATTCAATCAATTCGATATAATTATATACTCTCAAAAAATCTATTCTTAAAACAACGATGAGACTGCACGTAGGAATGATAAGATTCTTTATAGCTACACATATATTAAACAAATAACTGTGGGCATGAAGATTTTTTTAAATGTATAGTTTAATAAACCAGTTCACATTTATTGGTATTTCTTTAATTATTACTCCTACATATAATTCTTTTAATTCATAAGACTTATTTGGTGTTCTGAAGCTCAATCAATTATATAATTTGTTTTCAGTCAAAATATTTTGAGTGCGTTATTCGATAATGTAATTCATTTAAATTTAACTAAATAGTATATAATGTATTAGTACGTTTACGTAAACGTGGCGTTTTTAAATATAATTTCATTTAACGTTAGATGCCTTTTAATTTATTATAATAATAGAGGGAAATAGAAATAGCCCACAGTTAGATTGGACAATAGGGTTTCGTAGGGCGAATGTTAGAAGACAGGCTATTGGACATTACACGTAGATTACTTATATTCTTAATTAAAGACAAAGTGCGTATTGAAGGTGTTTTTTCAAATATGATCTTTTGCACACAAGTACTCTAAAGATTACGATAAATTTACTACGGAGGGTTTTGGTGAAATATTAAATTTTAACTCTTTAACGCACATATCTTGTACCACTACTATTAAATATTAATCTATTTTCATATGAGATGCACAAAAATTTTTTTCTACATGATGATGATAATGTGGACCTAAAGAAGTATATAATAAATTCTATCAATTTCTAGGCCTTGGTATAACAGTTTAAGAAATAATTTTAGAAACGAACTAAAAGAGCAATAAAAAAGAAAATGGTGTTATTATGTCTCGTAACTGAGATTAGACGAATGTAATTCTAGTAAAGGTGGAGGATGACACGTGTATAATATCGTATGTATACGATTCAAGTTATAGGACGATTACATTGGCAACCGTTCGCCTAATTTAAGAGTACAGCGATAGTTGTCATTTAAATACACAGTAATGGAGAGTCTAATCTAAACACGTAATACCACAAAAACGCGTGGTTCCCGAGTGGCTCGTGTGAAAAGATCATATTCGTCGGTGCGTCAACAGTCTATCTAAGCGTGTGCCACATGGCGACCGCTTTGCGCGTCTCGTGCGCCATCTGCGCCCAGTGGCGGCCCTCTGCGGCCGGCTCGGCGGCGCCCACGCAGCACCAGCCCACCACCAGGCCGCTGCCGCCGCCAGTCACCACGCACACCTTCGAACAGCAAAGAACAGGGGACTTCTTCAGGCGGGCAGCGTTAGACAACCGAAAATCGTTTATGCCCGTTTCTTATATTCAACGAACGGCCGTTAGTTCGATAGCTTCGTAACTATATGAAAGTTGTATACGACTTGTAGTTTAAAGGCGTGTACGCCCGGTTCCTATATAAACAAAACGAGGCGTTTTCCTTACTAGCCGTTGCATTACCTACGGAAAGTGAGTTACTAGCGTTCCTTTTAGATTAAAGATTGTAGATACAAGTAGTTATCAAAGTAACGAAGCTATGTAACAATGGAGTGGAGTAACCACAGTCGTATTTTTTGTTTTTTCTCAGACCGCCAGTCTTAAGCCACGGAACATCTTCGTTTAGTCTAGCGAACGAAGTAACCAGAAATAATATTTTTTTTCATCAATGGTTTCTTTTAATCTCGTTGATATGAAAGTCCATTATTGTTTAATTAGGTCCCTTCATAGTCAATGAACGAAATTCCTTCAGTCGTCTTTTTGGCTAATTCACAAACCTTAAATGCTTTGATTATTGCATGCAAATTGCATTGATTGTTACTTTGTTCAAACTGTTTGTGATGAGCTTATGTCTCATCCCCAGTTACGATCCGTTCTAAAATCGACGAAGGATCTTCAGGATATAACTCCAAAAGCTGCTTTGCACGGCATCAAAGATATGGCCAAAATTGAAATGTGATTTTCCAGGTTTAATCACAATGAAGGAGGTAGTTAGTAGATGTCCTCTAACTACCTCAAAAACACCATGAAATTCATGTTTGATTGAATTGAACAGTAATTTTTAAATAAATTTATTACAGATATCCATTGACAGTTGTTTGTTTTATCTTGCAAAATTACTTTACCTCAATAGACGCTTCCTGAAGATTGCCAGAAGGCAGGCTGAAGGAAAGAGCTTCGTTCCACACGGGATTATTTATTTCTTTCCTGTTTGTCTTCTTCTTTTTTACCCGTTTTCCATTCACAAGGAGATACACTTTGACGTATACGTCTGAAAATGGAAAAAAAAACGTAGTTTAATTTATTTGTTAAATTGGTTACTAAAGGTAGTCATAGATTTATCACAATTATAAAGTTTATATGTGAAAGATTCCTATAAAATTTTGGCTAAAAAGATTTTAATAATTAGTTTTCCGATCTAGCCATTATTCCGTCAAGGATACCGTCTGTTGCTGTTAAGTATGCACACTAGATTTGCTACAAATGCCCTAAATAAGGAATATAGATGTCGAGATTTATTGTAGCACTTGCACTCAAAATAAAGAAAAACGCACCTTTCTCATCATTTCACGATAAAAAGTCAATAACACCTAAAATAAATCGGTACGAACATACCGAAGGCGTCTTTTCCTTCCTGCGGTGGTAGCAGGTTTCTTGCCTTCAACACGACCACAGTTAGCCGCTCTGCTGAAGGAAGGTAGGAAAGGGACAGCAACAGCTCTTGCAGCTCTTCTGGCGGGCGCCGCTCTCGCGACAGCTCCGCCCAGACCTCCGCTCCGCCAGCGACCTCCACGCGTGACAGAGGCACTTTGGCTGAGCCCATTACCTCGTTGCGGGAGAATCTAGAAGCAACGATGCGCTGAAGTTAATATTTTCCAATACCTACGTTGTCAAAAGACAATTTGGAACTATATACTCGGTGATGTCAGCATAAAGAATGTCAGAACCACGATCGAGCCCGAACAAGGCAGAAAACAGATATAATTCGTAGTAAACAGTAGAATCATTTCTTCATTTGCCTTTCGTATGGTGAGTGAGGTAAGGACGGTTAACTTTTAAAAAAGCACATTAGTCGAACCACCTGTTCGTTTGCCACCTCCGAAATGATAAAAATTTTGGTTAAGCCTCAACTTCTTTCTTTGGTTGATTTGGTTCTTGATTTAAATTAAGTTTCAACTTAGATTAAATACTAATTATTGTCTTTTGATGTTGACAATTTTACGGCCATCGTACATACCTACTTGACATTTCTAAATTCATTAACTCATAAGCGTGGATGCGTTTAAACTTTTTTCGGCAAGGCGTCTAGCGGGTTTTAAGGCTCAAATCAAAACAAATGCCTCATTGACCTGTCGTAGTCGAACACTTGTAGAAGCAGCGTTTTATCGCTGAGCTCGTCGTGAGACACTGGGAACTTGAAGTGCTGGTCGAAGAATGGGTTCGCCTCGTTCCTATGTACCGGCGTTTGGCGCACGCGGGTGTCCACCTCCGGCATTAAGCTTACTCGCACGTAGGGGTCGTTGAACCCGCCCGCCTCGTAGCCAGCCAAATCGTGCGCTGAAAAACGTACATACATCGAGGATGCAGACTACTTATACGAATCAAAGTGAATTATTTCTATGTGAAAAGTTGCCAAGCGCGCAGGCGGTTCTCCTGATGTTAGGTGAATACCGCCGCCTATGGACATCAGCTACACTCGAGTGTTGCAGATGCGATGACAATCTTTTGAAAATTGGGCTTCAGCTACCTCACTCACCAGATGAAACGCGAAAGTATACTTCCACTTGACGCCGGTCTTCTGTGAGGTCGCGGTACTTACCCAGACGAGCCTGCCCATTCGTGCAACAGCCGAGGCTGCTGCGTGGCTCTACCACAGTTAAAAATGATTTGTTATACACTACCTACATTATTAATAGGAATATATGACTTCATACTTCCATAACTGTATCATTTGTAATGAAATGAAAACTTTAAAATTATTCTGAATGGATCTAATGTTTTATTAATTAAATAAAAGTCAGAACGGAAATGCGTGTAGTCGTAATAGTAATAATTTGTTTACCTTCTATGAGATGTACTTCCAAATCTGATCTATCGAAGTCATATTTCAAACGGAGATGGATTCTGCCCAAGGAAGGGCCGGCACCTTCCAGTTCGATGACGAGGGGCGCTTCGCGTTTGGTGTAGAGATCTGGCTGCAGGGCTCCGAGAGCGCTGATGGTGGCCCCGGCACCGGGGCTAAGAGGTCCCGATCCACTGCTGCTCTCGACCAAAGAGTTGCTGCGGTCTATTCGTCTGGAAAGCAAAATTAAGCACTTCCAATAAGTATTTCTTTTGACGCAGAGATACATGAATAGATGGCACGTCCAGGAAAACACTATCATTGAAATGGATGATTTATTATCACAAAAAATATTTCAAAGATATGTGAGGTCTCCCAATCCGCAGTGGGGCCGCGTGATGGACTATGCCCTATTACTATGTGCATAGAGGAGGCTCTTACCCAGCAGAGGAAAGTGTTTATTAAACCCTTTTTTAAAAAAATATTGTTTTCCACTTTTTACTATCAACTGGCTAGTGTTTTGCTTAATATAATCTTATATAAAATAGCCTTATAATTTAATCTACGCATTAAACGTCGTTTCGTAAAGAAGCGAGGCAGCGTTAGACAAATAACGGCATGGAATAATAACCTTTAGAAACCTATACACACATTCAATAAAATATATAATCACTAGCGACCCGCCCTGGCTTCGCACGGGTAATTTATTATACATATAAACCTTCTAGAATCAATCTATCTAACAAAAAAAAAAACAGCATCCAGATCCGTTGCATAGTTTTAAAGATTAAGGATACATAGGGACAGACAGACAGCGAGACGACTTTGTTTTATACGATGTAGTTATTGTATTTGCACAATCAAATTCATGACAATCATCAACTTTAGATAGTTTATGTTTTGTTTAAACTGTAACTTGGAAGCATAATGAAAGGCTCATTCATTAATTAATCACATTCTATGAAAGCCTTGAAAATAGAACATTCTATTTTGGAAACTTTGAAGCTTTGAAGGCCTTCACGGAATGTAATTATTTAGATACATCGTTGCTACAAGAGATTGTAGTTATAGCGGAGTGTCGAGAGAATAGGGGACCCGCGAGGCGGGGGGCGCCCCCGAAAATTGAGTTTATATCAATTTACGCGGAGCGAGAGTACACACTCCCTGCAGATTGATTCTCAGACCCACTTTGTTACCTTCGATATTTACACGGCAACATAACTATATCTATTTCGAGTGTCACTTTGTAATATCATCGCAAATATAGAGTGGGTACAGATATTTTGGTATGCGAGTTACTTTAACAGTATAGTACAATGTATACGATATCAATAGTTATTAAAATTATTGTTTTAGGCTATCCTATTTTGAAAAAAAAACGATATGAAATCCTTTTATTTTACTAGTGCAATTCTTCTTCTTTGTTATTTAAAAATAGGTATAGAGATATAAAGAGAGGCGTTTTTTGGTGGGGTTATTAAGGATTAGTAAAGGGATAGTAATTACATACATACATATGTATATTACTTTAAATGCTGACTACAGCAAGGGTCTGTCCTATCAAAACTGTGAACTCGTAATTCTACTCCTCTGAGTAACAGATGACTGTTTATGTATGAATGATCAAGCTCAAGTTCTGGCTAGCTCACGAGCTCTTCGTTCGTTGGAGCTTTTAGTCTACCTACTGAAAACCAAAAAAATCATTCAAAGTAAAATGTAAAAATATCGATATCGACCTATCGAGGTCGATACATCAGATACATCGAAGAGGATATTTTCTCTATTGATATGTCGGATATTGGTCCTAGAAACATCGCTGTCTAAAAAAATGTATATCAAGTATTAAATATTTGACTTCAGCACTCTACGCCGGTTTCGAATTTGAAAAAAATATAGTTTTTGGTACGATTTTCGACATTGAATATTCTGTATCGATATATCGGATAAAATATCGATATATGAAATTAAAGATATCGATATTTTTTCAACATCTCCAGATTTACGTACCTCGGCGGCATCAATAGGGGCGAGAGGCACCTCGGGGGCACGTGCCTGGGGCTCGGCGGGGCTGGGGAGTCAGCCAGCGAGGCCAGGGAGCCGTGGGCGTGGGTGGCCGCACGCACGTCCAGCGAGGCGGCGCGCAGCGGTGACGGCGAGCGGGGAACCCCCGCGCCTCCCGCCTCCAGCGTGCGCCCGTCCGGGGCGAAGGTGCGGATCGCCGGGGAAGAACCGCGATGGCTCTGCGCGATTTTTTTTTATATTTTGTATCTATTCGGATAATTCGAAACTAAGCATATTCTTCTCCTTATGTCGTTAACTAACTTTTAACCTTTCTTAATCTCCTAGTGGATATGATCAGGTCTGATTACTTTAAGTCAAAAATGAAAGGATTGCGATCACTGAAGTCATATTTTTAGTGTTAACTTTCATCTCTTTTTGTCTTTCATAATTGAAATGACTTTTTATTCGATACAATCTTAGTTGAGGACTTATTTAGGTATGCGAAAGCATAATTAAACAACCATCAAGGGTATAGTACCATGTTGATTGGTACAAAATTGGTAAAAAAACATATACATACTTCATTACATTAGGTTTGGATAACTAACTCATTAATACAATGTTATTCCAAATTATATCATTGTTGTATCTTACAGCTGATATATAATATGTATTTCGTCAAGACTATGAAATACTACTTATTTTAAGTCTAGAATTAAAGGACTGAACTGTAATTAATTATCGATTGATTTTCACGTTGTTTATTAGACCTTGAGTTTGTTTAAGTGAACTGGTCGACATCAATTCATACATTATTAACTGTAACATCCGTGTTTCCCACAGAAGCAGTATGTAGTATATATACTTTGTCCTATACATACTTTGTCCAGTTGATGACGCACCTAAATTTTGGCTTCAGATATATACTAACAGCTTTTTAATACTATTTAAACCTTCTTCGGGAAAACTGTAATCTTCTTTTGAAGCCTGTTACACATTTCCGTGATAAAGTTATAGTAGAGGTAAATATTTATTACGCAAATCTCAAATCATCAATCTCAAAAATTAAAGGATCAAAAGAATCCCTTGATTTTAGCTCCAGCCATTATCACGTTATTACGCCTCTTTCAACAAAGCTCCCGGCTCATACTTATTACATGCAAAGTGATTACACATTCATATAGCTTCAGAGCAAAGGAAAGGTATAATATTCCGCCGTCCATAATGTACTTCCGTCGCATTACAGTAGGTACGTTAAAGGCAAAAAGGAAAAAACTTACGAGTTTTGAAGACTTACGAATATTGTTATTGACATAAACAAGCTTATAAATGAAACTAATTTTACGGATTTATCGCGTTCATTTTTAATTTTAGTTCCCGACGTTATTATACTGATAAATACCTAGGCACAAAGAAAATAATACTCATACGTATATATTAGATCTCAAACAATATTAATAAATGTATCATAAAGGCGGGGAATTCCAGTTTAATAGCCTGTGTGGTAAAAGATTTTTCAAAAAATGACGGTTTGTTACGCAAATGCGTTACGGCGATGACGTGTTCATAATAACATCCGATTATACTTTATTTTACACCACTAAAAGTTTTATACAGTTGATTATTTTATATTATCTTAAAAGCTAGTTACATAAGGCAGTCTTATCGCTAAAGAGCGATATCTTCCAGACAACCTTAGTACAAGGAAAATTAAACTTATAGTGGGAGGTGGTGTGCTTTAATTACTTAATAATAACAAAATAAATTATAATAAACATACATATAAATAAATAAATGTATAATATACATAATTAACATAAATACATATATGAAAGTATAATAGATTAATATTGTTAATGTTACCTATGGATAACAGAGGGAAAGATAATGATTTTTTATATCATTTTTAAATTTGTCTATGCACGACGAATTTGCTGAGGAAATTCATTCCACAAGCAGATGGCCTTGACAGTAAAGGAGTTTTTATAATATTTGCTTTTATACGCGTGTGGTTCTAAAATTAGTTCTCCAGGGGATCGCAGAACTCTTTCTGACCGGTTATGGCCAATTTATCTGAATTATACATTTAAAAAACATAAGTAGTTTATTATTATTTAATATTTAAGAATAAATTATTTTAATTTATGTATTATTAATTATTATAAAGATTTTTTTTAGTTTTACTTCAACCGCATGTAAATGTTACACTCACTAATTTTTTGTTGTATAATAAGCAATAGGTTTTAATGAAAATAATTATATAATCTAGGTTAAATTAAAATACTATATGTACATACAAACAAAAAGGTGTAAACATGGAGATATCGTATACGTAAATACTTTTCTACGAAACCATTATTATAAAATACAGAAATTGAATAAATTCGCCCAGAAGGAATGGAGTATGAGGTAAGGGTATTAACGTACGAGGAAAATTGAATGAGAATAAGGCAACATTCACACATTCTTAAGTCGATTTGATCTCAATATTAAAACCTGGTCCTTAAAAAGATTCGATCCAATGAAAAAAAGGTTCAACACGACATATTTATGTGAAAGAAATTATTGTGGGTGAGGATTTGGGAAAATATTTTCCACGATATACCGCTTTCCTTTCTAAAATTGATGCTAGCTGGCCTACGTAGACGAATCAAAGTAACATTTTCTATTTAAATTGACATTATGAAAATATCTTTTTATTAGTTTTGTGTGTTGCCTTTGAAACTATTGCGCCTAAACCATTGATGTGATAGATTTCTCGAAATTTATGAAATAAATACTAATACTAATATTAGAAACGAAATAAAATTTTAAATGTGAATTTTTATTTTTCCGGGCAAAACGCAGCTTCGATTCCCGCAGACCGAAAGTTTTAGTCCATCAATCTATAAAAAATCACATTTTAAATTTCATCTTGAGTGCAGAGAGCAGCACTAATTTAATTAATCATAAGACTTAAAATGAAATGTTTTACGGTTTTCTTATGAAGTGGAGTATCCTTCCTTTATTATATAAACTGCATTTATAATGAGTTTGAGATGCGCTGGTCCACAGGTTGTGGGAAATATAATTAATTCCGCGTGAACTACCTTGTGCATATCGAAACATGCACCTCCATGCCATTAACGGAACTGTTTGGGTAGCTGCTGTTTGCCCTCTAGCTCTAGCTAATATTACCCAATACTCTGTGCGGAAACAACGAGATATTGTTCATAGTTAAACGAAATAAACCACAGCGGAGGGCCCAAACCCGTGGGTTCTGACTTGCCCGGTTCTGCGTCAGATGAAGCTTTAATAGTCTCGGGACTGAAAGCAAAAACATCAGTTAATACAAGATACAAGAGATATTGTTTGATTTGTATTGCTGATATTACTTCATTTGCTATTTTATCGTGGCTTTAGTCTTTATAAACTTCATTATCGCTATTTTCAATGCCTTTTCGATTATTATTAACGTTATGTTTTATTATATTTACAGGTAAAGCGGTTATAATGTCGTGGTTCCGAATGTGTAACAGTTATAATTTTTGATACTCGTATCTTTATTTTCCAATTCACATATTCATTGCAGTTTTACCTTATGTTTTTTTTGTTAATATTGAAAAACAAGAAGACACTTAATATAAGTTTTACCTAATATTTAGTGTGGCTTACTTTTTATTTTAAGTGTACAAAAGATTCAATGATTAAGAAGAAATATGGGACATTTATTGAAAAATGGAAAAGTATTTTGTTACAAATTGAAAATCCTACTTTGCCAGGATCAAATATTGCCTGTAATACTTTACACCGTCATAAGCTGGCATTAGCCTGAAAATTTAGCTTTTAGTTCTGGGTGAATAACGACCCATTGAAAACTTTCTCTGATTTTATGTTTGTACTATTTATTTGGATTTTAACCGTCGTTTAAAATTTTCCCAAAGATTTTCTGAAGTAGGAAATATGTATTATCATTTAGGCTTACATGCATAGTTTTGGTATTTTGTATTTTCCATTTAACTATGTACTTTAAAAGGAATGGGTTGATTGAGATGGAACTGATTTGTTTCGTGATATATTTTCAGCATAAACTGTTACGTGACGTCCACATGGTAATTTTTAAGAATAGTTAATCGGGACATACATTTATACTCGCAATCGTTCTAATTTAAATTTTGTTACGGTTTGGTTGTAAAATTATAAAAAAGTTTTTTTTAATCAAATTATTAATTATATAAAATGAAGTATTCTATTTATAAATAGCGCAAAAAGTTTTGTATCTAAATTACATTTCAAATTATATTTATTTCACTTCACTTATAATGATTTTAATGAAAGTACTTTAAAGATTTTATCACGTTTAATTTTGATTGACGCAAAGTAGTGAGAAATTTGAAAGCTGACGGGAGCCTGGGGTGAAAAGGAGGACACTTCATTTCTTCTCTTGATAAATGCTGTAAAATATTTGAATCGATGGGGGTTAAAAATAATAACGCGATAAAAATCCGTAATATTTAAAACTAAATATAATATTAATCGTAATAATAGACGTATTTGCAAAAGTACGTAATCCATAATCCAAATAAGAGTTTGATTAGTGAAATCATGCCATCTGCTGACAAGCAGATTACGCCGCAGTCGGATATAAATATGTTTATGTCGGTCACTTATGCAATGGATGTATCGATATTAGTGACGTAGCACATTGTAATAAAGGTATTTGTCGATAAATATACGCAAATCCTATACATTGATAAGGATACGGGCCCACAAAACCATTGGACAGTGGTAATTTTGTAATAACGTTTGTGCCTTAGTAGAGAGCATATATGTATATAAATATATATCGATATCGATACATGTGTATCGATATCGATAATAATAGGACGAGATAAGTTATTACTTGTTTGAATGAATATTAATCTTTATAAGTGAGTAAAAGTTGGTTGCGTTTTAATGTTAATTTGCACAGCTGAGCATGGTGGACTTTAATATTTATTATTGTTGATGGTGTTTTACATCCATCATAGGTAACAAACCCTTTTAAATTGTTAAAAACAAGACTTTTTTCGTTCAGTTGGGACCCGCCATTAACTCTGTTATACGGGAAATAAACTTCGCAAAACTTGACATAGATTCTATTGAAATGTTGGTGGGCAACGACCTACAAGTAACTCTATTAAGGCAGTACCTGAATGCTGATTGCATCAACTTGGAGAGAATCGTGAAATATAATGTCAGCGTGAAATGCTGTGGTGTTTCATAATGTTACTCTGTTTAATAGAAAAAAGTTTGATTACACTTTGTAGGTAAAAAGGGTAACAGTTCTGGAAAAAACTCCACAGGAATATGACCATTTTCCTGTTTAGCTATGTCGAAACTTGAAGATATTATATCATTTGTAACAAATATGATCGCAGTTACCAATGTCTGATTCTGCGAAAGAATCGACCTCTATTTTTTTTTTTAGGTACTGATTAAGTAGTCCACGACTCGTATTACACATGATGGTTAGTAGCAATGCAGCCGTATTGTAAACTCACTAGCTCAGTAAAACCCTATTTACTCATACCTTGAAGGCACCATTCGGACTGAAATACGCCAAAATACGCTGGCAAATTGTTCCGTTTCTTTGCTACGAGTAAACGCATAATGAATAACTCGTGTAATTACTATGCACACTCTCCAAAATGCAAGGTTACCCTATACCGCGCCGGTGCGAAGTACCGCCGCACTCTAGAAATGATTCCTTTAAACTATTTATTTAATTTTCTGTCAAGATGAAATGACGTGTAAAATCCCAAATACACGTAGTTATATTGACGAAAACTAATCAAATGTTACGAAATTAACGTACCGAAGTACTTAAATTTTACAGGTGATTTAGAAAATTAATGAAAGGTATCATTAATTTTCTAAATCATTCATTTGAGACCACACAATTCCTTTAATAGTATGTTAATATATTAAACCTGACATATCCTTTACTATAATGGTGGTATATAGAACATTTTTATATTATGTATTAACATCAAACCATCGTTAGACACTATGATAAAATAGGGTTTCTAGTCTAGCTACCGCATAAAGTGTGTATATGTTCTGTATATATACATTTACATATAATCAGATGAGTGGTCGAACGTTCTTTATCATACTCACCGTGGCCCTCGAAGTGCCGCTGTCGAGGCTGCTCTGAGATGAAATCGACGGGGTGCGCGCCAGTCGAGCATGCGGTAGGGAGCTGGCGGTGCGGACCTCGCTTAGCGGTTGCACACGGCAGTGCTCCTTCGGTATGAGCATCTCCTGCAACAAAAGAAGCGAGGAATAGGAGATACGTTCCATGATTCATTCGCAAGGTTTGTCTCGGCAAGAAAACAACAAAATCACCTAAAAACACAAACCTTGAGAATGCCAAATGAAATATATTTCATTTGTCTCTGCACTGAAAAGTATATTGTAATGTAGTTGTTGTCCGTGCTCGTTTATTTGTTTAATTGTTAAGTGGAAAGGATTTTGTCATCAGCATCTACCTTAATTTTTATATAATGTTGGTATAATAATTAATGGTTTCTGATTTAATAATTCATTTTCTTTTATGCAAAAGATGGCAAGCGAGCTGGTTTATCTGATGTTAAGCAAGAACCGCCACCCATGGCCATTTTAAAACTTTATTAACGAAGATATTGGTCAAATTAACTATATAGTTAATTTCTACAAAAAAATTACAATTTAAGCATATTCAATTAAACAAATATATGTTTTTAGGGCTTCGTACCCAGAGGGTAAAACGGGACACTATTACTAAGTCTCCGCTGTCTGTCTGTCTCTTTCTTGGTCTCTTACCATATCTAATGTATCTTATTAACAGATGAATGATAGTTAAAAAGTTGAAATTTTCGCAGATGGTGTATTTCTGTTGCCGCTATATTGACAAACATTAAAAACCGGAATAAAAAATAAGTGGGGCTCCGATACAACAGACATGACTTTTTTGCAGTTTCTATAGATAATGGTACGAAACCCTTTGTCCATTGTGCACTTGACAGCGTTTTTTAGTTTCAACTTGTATGAAACGAAAAAAACACACATCTTGCGTAGTGACAACATGAATTAAAGACTGCGGAAAAAGTCAAAAAAGTAAAAAAAAATAAAAATAGAAAGAGTCCACCGATTTTCGTTTTCACTTAAAAGGATTCGACCGCATTAACCCGCTCTGCTTAATTCAAATGAGGGTCGGACTTCAGAAAAAATCGTGCAATAAATAATTCAAAAGACAAACGATGTAATACTAGCCACCATAATTTACCACGAGCCTTGAATACTGAAATCTTATACGATCTTGAATAAAGTATAAAGCGCTTTAATCAAAGTCGGAAAAAAGTTGGCGCGACAATAAATTGCGAGTGGCAGCGGTTCGAAATGATTCTCCAGTTAATAAAAATGACGAATGGTGCCGATAAGACCGCTATGAGAACCACTGGTAGTTGCTATTATTAAAGTGTCATTTAAGCTAATAATTAAATAATATATAAGACGAAATTATCTAACACCTGAGAAAAAATGCTAATGTAAAATTGTATAAATTTTACCTTAATGGGTGAAGATCTTTTTTGTAAAGAGGGTATTATTAAGTCACGCAAGCCACAAAAACGTGTTAATTTTTCTTGAACGTCTGTATGCTCCTTGAAGTATTTTCTGTTCGCTGATTATGTTGAAACCAACGTTAAATCAATATTTAACAATAACGCAGGTGCCAACATTAGCTACGCCTACAAGCTACGATGTAGAGATCCTTGCTCGTAGCTGGCCGTAAAAAATAACTCATAGATATTAAAATTACTTAATTATCAGTCTGTGCACCCTGTCCGTGTTCTCTGGAGTGCGTCGTGTGTTATATAATCCGGCAACAACTTATAAATAAAAAATTAAATAAATTGTACTGGACCGAATTTTGAATGTAAACCACAATCGAATCGACCTGAAGACACACAAAAATTTCATTAAAATTGGTCCAGCCGTTTACGACTTCAGTGACATACACACGTATAGAGGAATTATACATATTAAGATGTTAAATAGGACGTAGAACTAATACAGATTGAAGCGTTGTTAACAATGTATACGGTCTAATTACAACTAGAAGTAGGTTAAATAAAGCAAGGGCTTTTGTACATTTGCCGTTTCAATTGTCGAGCACTTAGCAAAATGTGTAAGTGCAGTGTGGTATGCATTTTAATGCTTGCACGTCGCCAGCTTAAGTATTTCAGCGAACTATTCAACTCCAAGCTGACACGAAAATGGAGAAATTCCACAAAATATTTAACTTCCATTGGGAATTTTGTTCAGAATTTACTGTGTGTAAATAACAGGACGCGTAATCTCTAGGAGAGTTTATTTTTAAGCTGTATGCAACTATACGTCAACATGATTAATTAGAATGCAAAAGGTATTCGGTAATTCTTGATAACATTATCTATTTTTAGTGTTTCAAAAAAGTCATAAATAGGAAGAAAACTTATCACATTTCATCACTAAGTATTAAGAAAGGTCTTGTGTTTATTTAACTAGTAATTATCTAAAATGGACGGTACCATTTTCTTTTTTGTCATCCTAATGATAAGTTTTTCAATTTCTAAGTTGTCATGAACAGTTGTACCCAACATTGATATTTCAAGCATGGCTTGAAATCCTTTGAAGTTATAAATAAATAGAAGCACTTGAAGCAAACAAACAGGATATGACGTTAAAGTACATACAAGCATTTATTACATAGCTATACACATATATCCGCCTATAATACATTGACCTAGTAATAGTAATAAACGTAAAATTTTCAGGATAGTATTATACGTCAGTACATAAACATAACTCGCTAAAAGCTTTGCGGTTCCGATAGTAATTGTGGTTTCTATTATTAGATACTGCTGTTGTAAGAGTAATCAATAAATAAGGCGAGTATGAATTTCGATGACGTTTGGCCCTCGAAGAAGTGAAGAGAAACTCAGATGTCTTTATTTATTTGACAGTATGTCGTGAATGCTTATATATTTAAATCATAATGTCCAAAACGTTAATGATAACTACCATCATGTAATTCAAATAGTAAAAAAAAAACTAAAAAAGTACTAGTAAAATGCAAGAAAAAATTTAAACATTGATTATTATACTGATCTTAAAAAAAAAAACATGTTAAATTTTAAATTTTACCCTTAAACAATGATTACAAACATAGGCAATACTATAATATTGTATTACTATCATCAATACGTTACAATAAAAACGCAATTATTGGGATGATGACTCATTGTCGGATAGTAAACGTGTATATACTATTAAAGGTGACATCCACAAACAACTAAGTATAAACAATTTCAATCATTTTTTAAAAAATGTCCTAATGAAAAGGGCCTATTATAATGTCGAAAAATACATTGAGGGCAAGGATGTGAGGAAGTGATTCTTGCTCTGATGTATGGACATTCAAAATCATCATTTTTATAATGATTTTATACTTAAGTAATTTTTGTATACTCATAAAATTAAATAAAATAAGAAGTAAAAAGAAAAGTCCTCAGAGTTTTTTGCCGGTTCTTCTATGGAGCGGTCTAGTTAAGTGAACCAGTGGTTTACGTTCAAAATAAGTTTACATTGAAAAAAGATTTTGAAAAGGGTGTCACTGACCGGAGGAGGATACAATTTTGCTCACTTCTCAGAAAAAAATACGCTTAAAGAAGTTATTTTGCCAAAAACGGACAGGTTACTTTTTGATTAAGATTTGATGAAAGCTCCGCAGGGCGAAATTTAAAACAGTGGAAACATCGCTAATACTTTAATAAGTATCTAATCAGTACATATTAAATATTAATTGAGTAATGAGTATTTTTTATTGAAATGAGTATTTTTATTTTTAATGAATATTAATATTATCGAGAGTATCGAGTACTATAGTACCGAGAGAAAGGCCGGGAAAGAAAAACATAGAAACGGGAAAGAAAGAAAAATAGGTTTTTTAACTGAATCACCAGGAGATTGAGTACGTTTGTACTTTTCCAGTCATGCACGTAAGACGCATGTAACAATCAAATGTATATCTATCTGCTACTACTAATCATAAATAGAATATTTTAGGTTTTTTTAGGACACATTTTTACACAAAACTCTCTAGTCCCAAACTAAGCAAACCTTGTACTGTGGGTACTAGAAAACTAGAGAGCCTCGGCTCGGGCCGTCACGCTATTATTGTTGGCGGGCGCTCCATGGAGTGATCAGGCTCACGGGTCCCGAGAGGGGACCTCGGCTTGCGCTGTCAAGCATATTCCTTAGGGTGCCCGAACATCGGTACTTTTCTTTACTAGAGCTAACATTACTACCACTTCGGAGAGCGTTGGCGCTGGGAGAAGAAGTGGCGGAAGAAACTCCAGCAACGCTTCTATCATTAATAGGGGAAACCTGCCAGGTACGTGGCGGAACCTAGTATACGGTGTGTGTTGGTGTGTTTCTTGAGTTTTTTGATCGTTTCGATGGCGATAGTCGTCTCATCGTCAGGGAAGTCGAACCTAACAAGTGGGTTGGGATGCGCGGCGGCGGAATCGAAATACATTGCGCGATGGTGGGCAATACATGTAGGTCGATAACAGCCGGTGTATTTGCTTCGGAGCAATGTATCGCACGTCATGATAAAACTGCCTTAAAAGGACTTGTTCATCACACAATATTTTTCCAGTAGTGGGGATTGAACCCACACCCTCTGGCGCAGGAGGTAGGTACACTAACCACTACCCCATTCGGGTCGGGTTTAATCTGGCACTTCAATATTATCAGTTTCCTGTTAATCGAAATAATTTATCGTAGCGGTATATCTGTTTATATCCCATATTGAAATACGAACTCATTAAAAATTACACAGCCCGTAAGTGCACGGAGCACACAAAGCATTAATCATGAGCTATTGCGGATATTAAATACGGATATTTCGTTTAGATTTATGCGATGCCACGCACGCATCCCGGAGAGCTCGTTTCCCCGGCGGACTTCCTGTGTGCGCTTCACCCGTTTCCGGTCAAATTCCGCATTTGCACCGCTCTCCAATTCATTAAAGTAATCACGTGCTGTGTACACATTTTCGAATAAGATATTTCAAGGCAGACCATTTTTTTTTACGTTTTCAACGAAGAATACGAAGACTGTTTTACCTTTACTAATTTAGCAAAGTGTTTCTAATATCAACTTATGTTTGTATAAACTAAAGATATTGCTACCGTAGAAGCTTCCTGAAAACTTCTTACAGAACCTCCTTTGTTCGTGCTCAGTGTAATTTCATATAACTCTGCTGCATGTGAATGTCGTCTAAGGAGATAGCTTCGTTGAAAATTTCAAATGTAAGATCTTGTGAGAACTGCAGCGAAAGACAAAGTTTCGTTTTATTGCTGATTACTTTGTGCATTGCTCATACTCATTTTAGGTCACCTGATATAATGTGCATACATGTATACGTGTATATGTACCACAGCCCAGGGATATCTACAACACCTCACCTGAGGGCTGGCAGATGCGTTTAATAGCTTTATACAAAGCAGACCATTTTTACCTCACCCATCAGTTGAAACGCGAAAGTATGATATTTCTATTTCAAGCCATTATTCTGTGAGGCCGTGGTATTTCCCCGGGCGAGCCGTTGCGTGGCTCTGCGGCAATAAAAATTTTGTCATAGATAAAGTAGATAACGGTGGTAGGGCCACGCAACAGTGTTTGTTGTTGCACAAATGGGCAGGGCCGTCAGGGATAAACACGCGTCACAGAAGACCGGCGTGAATTGTTATACTTCGCGTTTCGACTGGTGAGTAAGGTAGTCGAGGCCTACTTTATGAAAAGGTGGCAACACTTTTGGATGGATATTCCAAGCGTGCCGATCACTAAAATTGTATGCCTCTGATAACTTGATGTCGATCTTTTCTGAGGTTATGGCACTGCCTCGATCGTACTGGCTTATTTGTGTAGCAGAAGCTGTTATTACACCCGTTTTTGCTTTCTAGAGGGCTTAAAAGTACATTGCTCGCTTTTGAAACTTGGAACTCAAGTTGCCTCCTAAGGAGGTATCAAAATATATCGTATACCTATCATCGTGGATAATGCCTGAAAATATAGTTTACTTTATAATATGCTATAAAGTAAACTGTATAAGATAAAAAATTAAAAGTACTTTGATGTGCTTCAGTTGAGCACGCGAAGCTGCCTCGCACTCTAGAAGCTGTCCGTAACTCTACAGTAGGAGATTGAGTAGAGAAACGGAAATGTGGTGTAGGTCCCGATTATGTGAGTCTCTGATGATACATACGCTAGGGCTGCTGTGAGATTTGTCATCGCCGAAGCTGTCCGTGGAGTTGTGGCTCTGTCCACTGCTGGCGCTCGAAGTCCTCTCTCTCGCCGCCCTAGCCCACGACTCCAGCCTCTTCTGGGCGGCCCACACTCCTGGCGGCCCGAGCCCACTCATTTCTCACACTTGCCGATTCACATTAACATAACTGTCAGAGTTTTCCTAGGGGGAATGCGTCGTTTCACCTCGCATCCCACGAATATGAGGCCGAAAATTTTGTACTCTACCGTTTAAAATTATTTATTATACCGCTTTAGGTCAGTATTCGTTGTATGTATTCACCGTGTGTTGTACCTGGGTAATGGAATTATCTATTACACAGTACAGTTTGCAGCGATTAATTTTATATAATTTTATATAACTTAATTTTTTTATATCATTTTTATTTTATATAATTTAAAGGACTGTGAGAGCTCCGCATCGAAAAATATGATAAGATATTAAAAAAACGTAACTTTTAATACAGAACTGAGATATAAATAACATAATTATAATTAAATTTCAGGTTAAGGTTATCTTTTGCGATGTTGTCAAAACTGTTGTTATTTGCAAACTCTCCATTAGATAAATTCCAAAAGCAATTTTTTTTATTGGTCCAAACCAATTATGCACAATTTGTAAAAGTTAAATATGAAAAAAAAATTGTAAATAAAATGTCTACGCCGCACTAAACGTTTGCCGCAAAAAATGATAAAGTTTTCGATGATATAATAATGTTACGAAGATACACAATTGCATAAAAAAGTCACAATAAAGTTTTTATTGGACCGTATATCTTCTTGCGTAAAAATATCAAATTGAACAATAAGTCTGGAGCCAGACATTGCGTGGGCGCCGACGGTACGACGCCCTCCCGTCTACTCGTAGTAGGTGTGGCAAGACCGTGTGTAGCACCTTCACGTAGGCGTTTGTTTACGTTCTACGTAGTAACCCTCGTAGCATAATTTTCAACAATTTTACTTGCTACTTAAAATGTTACGAAACTGTAATGTAATTTATCGTAATGACTATGTTATAGCGTCCCTTATTGAAACTTTTACACGGTGTTTTCTTTTAAGTAACAAACTACATTAAAGACAAGTTTTTTAAATATGTATTAAGCTTAAATATCGAAACAGAGGCTTTACATTCCGTACAATTACCCGTATATAAACATCAATATAAATTATCTATCTAAGATGTCTTTAAGTTTTGAACATTTAAAACAGTCAGACACCTTAAGAGAAATCAAAAGAGAAAATTAAACGAGTTCGCATTGCGTACTATACGTTGTATGCTTTCGAATTAATTGAATAAAATTTCGCAATAAGTCCGAATATAAGCCACATAGAATTTGTTTGGTAATTGAAATATGTTGCGGAAACATGTTATATGGAAATCAGAAATAAATTTTTATGGGAGAGTAAGATAAGGGGATTATACATGGCGAATATTTTGCGTGTTTTAATTAGGTAATCTTTAATTATAAAAGATAATAATAATTCGTAATAGAAGGTAATAATATTCATAATGGCATCCGCAATCGTATATTCACTGACTAATACCGAAAATATGCTAAATTTTTATATCGAAAAACATTATTTATTTGACAATAATCGAGGGACATTCACGGGAATTTCAATTTCGACATCAATCAATAAATTTTTCGCCGTCGCGACGAGGAACCGAACATTTTTGACACAAATAAAAACTGAACTCGCGTAAAACGACAGCCATAGAATCTGTGCGTATTGTATTACTATTAATTGTTGTGGTTTTTATGCTTGTCGCTTAATGGACGCCGCGACAGAAGCGTTTGGGTCGGCGGCTCGCGCACACTGCCGCCGCCCGGGAGCAAAGTGTTGCCAGCTAGCCGCTCTATCCAGTTTACCCTAGATTGGGTAACGTATGGCAGAACACTTCTGAACGTAGCCATCACTCGTCCCAAGACCCGTTAAAAATTACACCAAAAATTCTTGAACAGCTTTATAAGTTAGTAAAATTAAATTGTGTTTCTAAAAAAGCTTTGTCAAACAAATATACTCGTACAATAAAATAAATTGAGTTGCTTGTATTCTTTCGACTATTCCCACCGTATTCAATTTTTATCAATTTAAGCTAAAGGAATAAATATATACAAATTGAAGAAGTTTGTACAGGGAGAGAGCTTATAAATATTCAGGTAAATGGTTTATTAACACTTATATGGTAAATGGTATAAAGAATACGCGGTAAAAATAAATGGTATGGTTATGGTATTGGTTGGACGGTGGTGAGTCGCGTACTGCTTTATATTAGGCATGAAACATACATATGTATGTTAGTGTAATGTGCCTATGATGCACAAAGTGACAATGTTGCTGTTCGGTTGCGTAACTCCGAACACAAATGTAATATTAAAACTCTCTAAAAATATATTTAAATTAAATAAAAATAGAAACATGTGTAACATACTAGTTGTTATTCTATAACATAAAGGGTAGAAATCAATGTAAATATGTTTACTAAACTTTTTTTATTTAATTTTCTATATCTTTCATAAGTGGAGGCGGGCGTAATGCTTTCAGGTTCTATCGGTCAACATATAATTCGATGAAATAATATAGCAGATGACAAAAGTAAATTAAGTAAAATTTTTCATTAAATGTATGTGTAAAAGTTTTAAAATATATAAAAATTAGATATAGTTTCTTATAATGTAACATTTTTTATTTATTATAAACATGTTTGCAAGTTAAGCGTTGATAAAGTTAATTCGAAAAATCTCATTTATTTCTTTTTAAATATAAATTTTTTAACGTTGGCTTAAAAATGCCCGAAAACCTGACTTTCGGTTTAATACTAGCAACACTATTGGCAGTGGCGCATTTCAGTCGCGTCATTTTCTCAGAAAGCGAGCAACAGGTACGGAAGGTTGTGAAGGACGTCTTGGGAGCTGTAGATGATACCTCATCCCGACTGTAGTTGATGAGGGCGTAAATGAAAAATTACGTTTCCTCCACATTAACTAATTCTTCCACAAACGTAATAAAATTCAAGGTTTACTTTCATATTTTATTACTTAGACCAATAATTCCATGAAGTGATATAAACAATTTTATGTTAAAAGGTAGAACTGATTTTGTTTTTGTTTCGCAATTATAAAATATATTTGATCAAGGAATGAAGAACCGAAATTTCTTAATGGTCTCTGTGGATGACACGCAGTTAAAATTTGGTAAATTTTTTAAATTTTTCATTTAACAATTAATGCTTCGTTTATACAGACGTTGCGGTTTGAATTAAGTTTGCTCAAGTATTAATGAACAAAAGGCAAACGTCTGAACTATAACTAGAATAAATTTATCTGACATGTGGTCTAAAGGGTGTATCGTAGCATCAAAGCTGCAGGGTTCTGTCAACAACAGTTTTACTAAGACTGTCAGAGAGTGAATTGCTAGCGGTAATTAATATGTCATCAATATTTAATGAAATTCGTTTAATTTTTAATGGTATCTGTTTGTGAAGCACAAGATAGGTTGTGTGTATGTGTAAATTACATTGCCCAAAATTAATTGACTTTATGACTATGCCGTTTTTGATGCAGTGACAGTTGTCCGTCATAACTGTTATCAAAGAAAACAAATCGTAATCAAAAAATTGCGATTTGGGGCATAAGATCCCAAACCTGAGTTCCAATCATGAGTTTTTCATTATTTCGATTCCGTAATTGCAAAAATCACATACACAACGAACTTCTCAAGTTTTGGGGTTATTAAATGGCATTAAAAAGTTGGGAATAAGTTACAGCCTTTACCTTTAATAAAACTTTTAGAGTTAAAAGGCGCGAGAGTTCGGTTTCTATTCAGTAGAGACTGTTTAATAAATCAACCAACACCTCATTAGAATATCATGATGCTTTAATGTGACACTGATTTACTCAAGCCTTTATAGGCGTCAAAGGATCTCCATTTTGACTCTTTACCTGAGAAACAGATATTATCGCTTTGAAATTTAAACAAGTATCCGTCAACTTCAATCCCTTGTTTAAAAAATAAAAGACTATATTAAAAAAAAGATGATATTAAAAAGACAATATCTTTTATTCATTATTAAAACGTAAGTATTGGTATAGATGTAGTATTAGGGTAATTTGCTTTTTTTTACTTTATATATTATTTATTCCTTAGTCATTAAAGTAGTTAAACATAAAACATTTAAGATTCAATTCAATAAACAAAAATAATATAAAACAAAAAATAATTTCAATTTCATCTCGGACGGTTGTAAATTTATATTTGCGTCTGATTTCTGTCGGTCCATTTTTAGAAAATTCGATTAAGGTTCATATAAATAAAAATGTCCAACGCACGCTACGCTTTCCATTCAGAGAGCCTTTAGGTGTGCCAGTGGTTGGTATTCGGCGGTGTGTCGACAAAAGGGTAGAACCGGTGGAAATGTTTTTCAAGCGTGCCTTTGTTGTCGGAGCCTCCTTTGTGTGTTCTAGCACATGAGTGGTGTTTTACTTAACCTTAGATCATTCGGCAAATATTGACAGATCGTTCGAGAATACGGTGGACGAAGTTGAATTACCTTTGAATGTAATCAATGCGAAGAAAGTACCGACTGCTGAGCTATGTTGGCGCAGTTCTAAATCTGTTGCAACTTTTTTTTTTTCGAATTATAATTTTTATTTGTCGGACCTATTTTGTTTGACAACCCGATTAACGGTGGTTGGGCTACGCAACTGTCTCCGCTGTTGCACGAATGGGCAGGTTCATCCGGTTAAGTACCACGACCACACAGAAGATAGGGTAGTTTGTTTAAAATATATAAATTCTAATATAATTGTAATGTTTTTTAAGTACTTAAGAAAGGCGTGCGAACCAATTACCTACTACAGTCCATAATATTGCTTTTTATATATTGCAACTTAAAAAAAACATTGATATTAATTTCTTACATGCACAATACTACGTCACATTGTTAAAAGAAATGTTTCTTGCTACTTTTATAATTTTTTCGTTCGTGAAGAAACTTTATCTGGTTACTTCAAATGCTATTCCTTGTAATCGCGAATACTGTTAATTGTTACAGGAAATTACTGTTGCCAATTTTGTTAATTGCTTATTTCTTGGGTTTGTAAAAAAGCATTATTT